GGCGGCATTGGTTACTTACTGGTAACTCCAGTGGTTGTGCCTATGTCAGGGTCTGTAATTTTCATTATCAATGATCTGGATAATTGATGGGAGACTAATCACTTGCAAAAATCATAAATATTGAAGGAAATTTATTTTGTGAGAAAATTGAAATGGTTGGAAGGGGGCAATATTTGAGGGTTATTTGTATTTTTATCTTTCCAGAAGCAAATTGTTTAGATTATTATTTAATTGGAGATTATTATTTAATTAGATTATTATTTAAAGTAGAATATTAATTCTACTAGTTAAGGGCAATCACAAATTCAAAGTGATTCTGTAGCAATAATCCTCAGCCCTCACTGTAAATTAGAATTGGCACCTGGGGAGCTTCTAGAAAAATTAAATTAAACATCAAATATTAAATAAAAGACCAAGACTTTGGTATTATGTTTAAAACCAATGTGTAGACAGAATTAAAAATCACTGTTGTATGACTAAGTGGTGAGTTTAAGTCTACTTGGAAAGGGTTGTGAGTTAAGCTCTGTCTCAGACCCTGTACTAACTATAGTAGTGACAGTCTTGTACTGAGGTCTCTGTTTTCCCTCACTTTTATTGAACCAGTGGTGTGGAGACAATCAAGAATATATTATACTTCCTATTGTTTTCTGTGTTGTGTGACCAGCAAAGGCATAGGATATTAAGATGTTATTATATGCTAATAGTACAACTTAACTCTGGGTTTTATTGAGAGATTATCTTGGTGTAAATTATTTTCATTTAAAAAGACAATATTTGGTTTATATGATAGAGGTATAAAATCAAGAGCACAACAGGGTGGTTCTTATCTTGAAGAAAAAAATGAAATTGCTTTCTCTAAATTCATATAAATATACCTTAAACATTTTCCCACACTATTTATTGTAGTGTTTAATGTGTCATTAAAATAGAATTGGTGCCAGCATATTAGAATTCTTTTAATGCTTTTCCTAAGGCTGTTTAGATGGGAAACAATTCAACATAGAATGGAGTCTTAATGAATTAAAATTCATTATGAGGTGGCAGAAATCATACCCTCCCACTCCATACTACATTGTGTGCCATCCAAATGGGAAATATTTTTATGATTTCCACTTGGAGTTTCTTTGCTTTGGCAAAGGCACCTACATTACTCAAAATCACAGGAGTTAAAACCACTGTTGTATCACTATACATTGGCAGCAAGTGGAAAATTACAGTGAATTTACATGAGTTTGGCACTGCCATTTTTATATGAACCAAACAACATTACACAGTGGCATCAAATTCCACCAGAAATTGCAGGTCATCAGTTTTGAGGATGAGCAAGCATATGGAAGTCACCTATTTCACCCTGCCCCCATTCCCAATCCTCCAGGAGCTCCAAACCCAAACCAGCCAAGTCTCAGGAGATTTTGCTCTTTTTAAAAAAGTCTTAAGGTGGGCCCTCCCTGGTGGTGCAGCAGGTTAAAGCACTGCACTAAGAAGCTTAAGCCACTTCCGCATGAGTTGGATTTCGATCCCCGCCTGCCCAGGAGATCCACATGGCACGGCAGACCTCTCCTGGCCGGCCCACTGCTCCCCTCAGCAGTGGACTTCGTCGATCTGCCTGTTCTGCTCCCCGCTCTGCTCTGTCTCTGGTGAAGCCTCTCACCCTCCACATCTCTGGCCTGTACCCCAGTTCTGTATGAATAAATAAATAAATCTTTAAAAAAATTTAAAAAAAGTCTTAAGGAGCAGACCTTTCTCTTTCAGGCCCCTATTTCTTCCTCTAACAATTATCATTACCAGGAAGTGCCCTCTTCACCCCAACCTGCACTGCAATTTCAATCCACTTTCTCCAATTTGATGGAGATAGAGGTCTCAAGCCTTATTCAAGAGAGATCAGAGATCATGTATGGGAAAAGCCCTTAATACATCTTTAAGCGCTGCCCCAATGTTTGGAATTCATAAAAGCATCACATGCCTGAAGAATTACCCTGTGCTTGCTCCTTCCCTTTGTTTTCTGGAGCATTGTTACTGCCAAGAAGAAAGTTACAGGCAATTTAGAATTGGAGAAGCACTAGTTCATTTTCATTTTAAGTTATTAATGAGAGTTTACTGTTAACTGAGGGGAAGAACCTGCTCTCAAGACAGGAAACATCATGCCTCACTGACTCTCTTCCTCTCCATCTTGTCTCTTCCCCTTCCATTTGTATGAATGACCTGAGACCTTACCTACAAGGCAGAGCTCTTACTTACTCTGTAGCCACTTCTTGCTTGTGTGAAAAACTAAGCTACCACATTAATATTAAAGATTGTAAAATTATAATGTATATGGACTTGAAATTTTTAGAATTCAAATTGGTATGTTATAAGGTTCTGGTCTGTTGTGAAGATTATAGTGAGACCATTAACTTGCAAAAGAAGATGAGGATAGGGATGAAACAGAAAAACTATAATTTTGGTTTATGTCTCACAAAATGGCTATTATGGAAAAGGTGGTGTTTTTATCAGTAAGCGATATGTTTCCATTGCAAACCAAGAAGTCAATCCCTATATCATAATACATGCAGCTACCATTCTGGTAAAGGTATTGTTTACTAACTTCCAGAAAATGTTTGAAAATTTACCTGCTAATCATATATGCAGAGGAACTTGTACAATCAGTTGTTTCAATGCCCTGGTTTGGGGTAGGTAGGAAAATACCCAAGCTTTCCACTAGTGATACTTACACAGTTTGCACTGGTTGGAGGATTTACACTCTCCCTTAGCCAGTGTACATTTTCAAAAGTTTCTTTACATATAACCTAAATCCCTCCTACTTAAAATTATTATAATTGGCCCTCCCTGGTGGCGCAGCGGGTTAAGGCACTGCACTGAGAATCTAAAGCCGCTTCCGCATGAGTTCGATTCCCGCCTGCCCCGGAGGTGACCACATGGCGTGGCAGACCTCTCCTGACACGCCCGCTGCTCCCCTCAGCAGTGTACTTCGTCCATCTGCCTGTTCTGCTCCCCACTCTGTCTCTGGTGAATCCTCTCACCCTCCGCATCTCTGGCCTGTACACCAGTTCTGTATGAATAAATAAATAAATTTTTTTAAAAAAATTATTATAATTACTTTTCAAGCAATTTCCCTACAGATTTTGAAGGAAGTACCCCCACTAAATACTTAATAAGTTTAAATGAAATTTGTAAGGCAAGAAGTCTTATCTGTACTTTGGGGTGATTATTTTTCTAACTAAAGAATAATTTTTCCTATATTAATATATATCAGACTAAAATCATCCACACATAGCAGACATTTGGAGAACTTTTGCAAGTTCCAAGTAGTTTTTCTTGAAGTGATTATTTGGGAGATAGATTCACATCTTTGACCTCTAAGTAGATCATTGAAAGGAAGGAAAGTCTTTGTGCCCCTATAGGTTAGAAGTTTTAGATTGGTGCATTCCTTGTTAAAAAATAATGAAAACATAAAATAGATATTTATTTCTGTCATGCTTCCTTTGACTTAAATATATGGTTACCCCAAATATGATAACATAGTACCATCAAAGGAGATGTTCTCAAATTTATATAAATGCACATTATTCCTGATTTAATATTAAAAAAAAAAACAAACAGTGAAACCTTAGTGAAATAAAAGGGTAAGGCAAAATGGAGCTCAACCATGAGACTTCTAGAATCAGTGAATCCACCTGTTTTTTAAAAATGCTTATGCATGCAAGAACTGGGTACAGGGCAGTGGTGTGGGGTGTGAGAGGATTCACCAGAGACAGAGTGGGAGGCAGAATAGGCAAAATAACTTGAATACACTGCTGAGGGGAGCAGTGGGTGAGACAGAAGAGGTCTGCTGCACCATGTGGGTCACCTCCTTGACCAGGGATTGAACTCATGTTGCTGTAGATGGGATAGCTTCATAGTGATGCACTTTAACCTGTTGCACCACCAGGGAGGGCCCGAATCTACCTTTTAAAACTCTAAAGGAGTGTTTGAGTTTATATTGACTAGTGTAGTAGAACTTTTTGACAATAGGTTCTGAGATATTGCAAAAGAACATTTTATAAGAAAGCCAAAGAATTAACATTCTTTGCAGAAATAGTTATCCATTCCATCAGTGGAGGTAGGTAAGTCATTCTATTTGTGATCTGAATAATACTTACTTTGCCTTTAGAAGTAATTTGCAGTTTTTTCTGTGGGTTAGTAAGGTTAATCGACAAGTTTGCCTTCAATAGTTGTTGTATAGTAAATTAGATATTCTCAGCCTGCGCTTTCCTAAGCTAGTGTGTTGCTGTGATTGTTGAGATTTAGTGGGTGAAAGAAAAATGACGAGTACTAAAAAATGGTTTCTCTAGGATACTGTCTTTTCTTTTTCTTGTTCCACTAAAAAGTGTTTATTTCTGCATATAGTATATGCCCACTGTTGAATAATCATAACTTATAAAGGGTAAACAAAAAGCCAAAATCCCCCGTCGATCTTGGATGTTCCTTTCTCCATAGAAGGACGGAATTCTAAAGTCATTGTGCTCTCTGATATTCCCTTTATCTTGTATCTTCCCTGAAATTCAGCAACAATATTTAGTTGATGACAACTTAGAAAACAGAAAGCAGGGGGGATGTTGACCATCAGAGCAGAAAGCCCAGGCAGGGCGACTGGTTGGTTGACAGCAGATCCTGTCACACAACTTCCAGGTGATGCTGATTCCCTTCCTGCTCAAGTTAGGTATGCAAGGCTGAGGCAAAAAGAAAGAAGCCTCTTATTTCTAGGGTACATTATTTAAATATATTAGAATTGTCACCTTGGCCTCAAAACAGTTGGCTCAAGCATCATTTTTACTAATCTTCACTATGTCAGCAACTAACTGATTTTAGTTGAGTTTGAATTTCCTAACAAGATTTTCTCTTCTCCCTACTTCTCTGTTTCTAGGCTAGAGCTGAATGTGCTCAGACAGGAATTCTGAGCTCAACCGAAGCATGGAGAAATGTGATGAAAAATTGACTTTTTCCTTCTTTTTCTTGGTCAGTGTGCTGGAGAAGAGAAACGAGTTGGCACACGTACAGTATTTGTTGGCAATCACCCAGTGTCAGAAACAGAAGCCTACATTGCACAAAGATTTTGTGATAATAGAATAGTCTCATCAAAGGTAAGTTGTTTAACTCAATAATTGATAGTCATTTAGTAAATTGGAGAATGTACTTATTTTTATTTATGTTTCTGAGGAAGCTGGTGCATTTATATATATAGACATGGACATGCATTTCTATCAGTCATTTACCAACTACAGTAGTTATTAAATTGAAAGGCAGGTTTTGTTTTGTTTTGTTTTGTTTTTTGCCTGAAAGGCAGGTGTTTTATTTTGGTTTGTGTGTGTGTTTTAATTAAATTTTGTTGTGTCATAGCTGAAAGAGCATTCATTCCATTGCTCCCCATTATGATTTCACAGTACTTGTTAATTATACATATTACTTTCAGGGAGTTACTTGCTCAAAGCTTCCTGTACTGTCCTAAGTAGATGGACTAGGTTGTGAATAATTTGCGTTTTCTGAATGGTACAACATAGAATGACATTCATTGGTGTTTCCATTCCATTGTGGAGCTCTCATGTACACTCCTGGGTCTGAAAGGGTGTGTTCTGCTCAATACACCTCTGAAACTATTAAGAATTCAATCACTACAACATTGTCCCATTTAAGAATCATTTTACTTCCTCCTGTGGTAGTGCTCAGAGCCAGTGCTTGAAACTGAAAGACTTGTGTTTAAATCCTGACCCGCCCATTTACTGTGTGACCTTGCCAAAATTAATGTCTGAGTCTGAACGATCTCATCAGGGAAATGGAGTTAATATGAAAGTGTATGAAAGTGTATGAAAGCACTCTTTTTATTTCCTAGTCCTCAGTAATCATATTCTACAAGCATTAGTTTGCTCATCTTTTTTTGCCTGATAAAATTAGGTACTTAGGTGCTAGATGACTGGCCCACTGCCATCTCCTATGGCCTGGCACAGATCTTGGTCTTTTTCATCGCTTCCTTACATATACCGTACACCGTGGCAAGGGAGATCTAAAGTGTGGGTGATGATGGTTTCACTTCATGTTTGCAAACTCTTAGGATGTGAAATGCAGAATGATATCCTTCCTTTAAAAATTTAGCATTTTGGCCCCTCCTTGGTGGTACAGCGGGTTAAAGCACAGCACTAAAGAAGCAAAAAGCCACTTAAGCATGAGTTCCATCCCCGCCCGGAGGTGATCCACATGGTACAGCAGGCCTCTCCTGACCCGCCCGCTGCTCCCCTCAGCAGTATACTTCGTCAGTTGGTCTGTTCTGCCCCCCACTCCGTCTCTGATGAATCCTCTCACCACTCCTGTACCTCTGTCCTGTACCTCTGTCCTGTACCCTAGCTCTGAATGCATAATTAAATGAATCTTTTAAAAAATTAAGCATTTTGGTTGTCAAACATACACATGATTTCTCCTTTCAATAGTAATGTATAGTGGAGATTATACTTAGCTAGATTAATGTGTAAAATATGGACAGATTAAGTACTTGATGAGAGCTGATCTATTGGTCTATAGAAACTGAGCAAATTTACATAAAATACCTGTCTCCTATCAATCTTTAACCTTAGAGTAGAAATTTTATCCTCCGCCAAAAGTTCCCATACTTGTGCCCAAGATATAAATAATCCTTTCACTGAAAATTGTGACTCGCCTGGTCATATCCAGAAACAATCCATTACTCATCCTTTCATTCAGAACCATAGACTTGAAGAGTTGAAAGATCCTAAGAGGTCATCTTGTTAACTCACTGTCTTAACTGTAGATGGAGAAAGCAAACCTAGTGTCATGATGTGGAGAAAGCAAACCCAGTGTCATGATGTGGTGGCAGAATTAATGATAAAGGCTGAAGCAGAACTTTGTAAGGTCTACTGACTCCAAGTGAAGGAGCCCCTTTTATATCATTGGCTAGTTGGATGCCTTTCTCAGTTTTCTCTCTCCTTTTACATCAAGTAAAATACAGAATATTTTATTTTAAAGAGAATTGTTTTTCATAGTATTTTATATGGAAGCTTGTGAAGTCACACAATGATTGTAAAGTGACTTTTCATTGAGCTAGTCATCATTTGGCTATGATACACTTTGTGTGTCACATTTTAAAAGAATATAGAAGACTCAGTTTAATTCACAATTCTTTTTGTGTTAATAAAATATCTTTCATCAATGTAATAGAATGTTCTTTTAAAAAGTGACAATCCCGGGGCTCTCCCTGGTGGCTCAGTGGGTTAAAGCACTACATTATGAAGCTCTCCAAAGCCACTGCAGCATGAGTTCGATTCCCAGCCAGGGAGCAGACCCACATGGTGTGGCAGACCTCTCCTAACCTGCTCACTGCTCCCCTCAGCAGTGTATTTCTACCTGTTCTTCTCCACACTGTCTCTGGTGAATCCTCTCACCCAATACACCTCTGGCCTTTACTCCAGTTCTATAAGCATAAATAAATAAATCTTTAAAAATAAATAAATAGGCCCTCCCTGGTGGCGCAGCGGGTTAAAGCATAGCACTGAGAATCTAAAGCCGCTTCTGCATGAGTTCGATTCCCAGCCAGGGAGCAGACCCACATGGTGTGGCAGACCTCTCCTGACCCGCCCGCTGCTCCCCTCAGCAGTGTACTTCGTCGATCTGCCTGTTCTGCTCCCCACTCTGTCTCTGGTGAAGCCTCTCACCGCCCCTGAGCCTCTGGCCTGTACCCCAGTTCTGTATGAACAAATAAATAAATCTTAAAAAAAAAAAAAATAAATAAATAAATAAATAAATAAATAAATAAATAATAAAATAAAAAGTGACAATCCCTGCATTGGTAGAATAGTACATCTTTTCTCCTCTGTATATATGTTTTTCTAGTTACTCACAAACTGGTCTGCTTTTTTCATAAAAGCTCTAGAGCAGAACAAGAGTTATTAACAATATACTTTAGGAAAAAACCCAAAATCTTAATACAACAGGTAATTCTAAGGGGATAGTATACAGACCTTCATCCATGTAGACCTAGGAACTGGGTTTGCATTTAAGATAACATTTAACCTCTGTGTGTCAATTTGCTTATCTGTAAAAGTAGAGATAGTAAAGAAATGGAGATAGGATTATAGTGAGGATGAAAGACACCACAGAAAGCATGTAAGCACTGTACTTCCCATTTATGACACTCCGTAGATGGTAGCTGCTATCGTTATTTATGTTTCTGTGATAATACTGATGATTATTATTACAGCCCTGAGCAGTACTATTGATTTTCTCAGTCTTGAGTGTTTTGCACGTGTGGTGTGATCTCTCTTAAAAAGAGCCTCTGGGTCCATTCTAGAGAGAACAGCACTTTCATAATTTGACATTTTCCCCTCTCTTTGTCTTTTGACTGTTTATATTTGCAACCGAATCTTTTAACTGAAGAAATGTGCAATTTATAAAATGTTAACTCCTTCCTATCATCATGTCACCAGTTGATTTCTATCTCAACTCTTCAGTAATAAAAAATCACTTTCTTTTATTTGGGTGTTTTTTGTTTTTCTATTTACAAATATCAGTAATGTCTAATAATGAGAATAAGTCTTGTTAATGCAGATACTACTGTGAATGAATATTTTGACACACTTCAAATTTTACTTACAAAATTAATATTATTTTCCCCACATGAAACATTTGTGCTTCCTTTAGGAAGCATTTTCTGCAGCCTTACTACTTCTTCCGTGCACCCTGTAGGAACATTTGGGAATCAGCAAAAATTGTGTAGCTGTAGGAAATTCTGAAAATTCCTTTGATAGCAGAAGCAGCGTTTATTGCAACCTGCAAGGATCTTTAGCTTCCATTCTATTTCTCTGTTGTACATTTTGTTTTTCCTTTAAAAAAAATCCTGAACCTCAGCTTGAAGGCCCCATATGATAAGAATCAGTGATCTCCACCTGACTCTTTGAAAGTATGTCCAAGATCACACAGTACTCCTTTATGAAGGAATATCTTAGATTATAGTTTCAAGCCTAAACTTACTCTAACATTTTCTTCATTTTAGCCATCAGAGTTGTCAATAAAATTTATTAGATATCTCTTTACCTGAGTTTTATATATCCCATTGAAGATAACATTTTTTTAAAGATTGATCTATTTATGTATACAGAACTAGAGTACAGACCAGAGGTGCAGGGGCAGTGAGAGGATTCACCAGCGACAGAGTGGGGTGCAGAACAGGCAGACTGAAGAAGTACACTGCTGAGGGGAGCAGCAGGCGGGTCAGGATTGGTCTGCTGCGCCTTATGGATCACCTCTGGGGTCGGGGATTGAACTCCTGCTTTAGTGTCTTAGTGCTGTGCTTTAACCCCTGTGCCACGAGGGAGGGCCTTGCAGATAACATTTTTAACTTGTTTCTAAATCTTACTTCAGTGATGTCCTGGTAACTCCTTTTGTTCTTCTGAATTTAAGGTGGAAAGAGTGATACTTAAAAAAAGAACATGCTGCTTGACATTGGTAATGATAGCATACTGCAATGATGTTTAAAATTGGATTTAATATCTACACCAATGAAACTTAATAAAATGTATATAGTAATTTAGCAAAGTGAACAGTTCCTGAAGCTGGAGGTCTGCTTATTTACAACTAATCTTAGTATTTAGTTATTTTGTTCCATGACCGCCAAATTCTCCTAGTAGAAAAGTCAGCACTCCTTATAGGCCAGAAACAACTGACAGTTAACTTTACTAGCTACTTTATTTCTATTTCATTTTTTTTATTTACTTCCCTTTTTCTTGTTGATACAAAGACACAGTAGAACAAGTTGTTTGCCACTTTCACTTCTCTACCAGCATTTTAAGTGCTAAATTGGAAAAACTTTGGATATTGAATAAAGACAAGTAATTCAAGCTTACTTTTGCTTAAATTGAAAACAATAGACTCTCAACACTGAGATTCATTCCCGTCTCCTTCCTTTAAATTAGGAAAGTTATTTATCAAAGTTAGAAGATTTTGGTTTCAAATCATAGGTTAAAGATAGTTGAAGGGGTAAACCACATTTGTATACCAATTATTTAATTCACCACAGAGCAGATGCAAAATGCATTGTATGTGCTTGGGGAGCTGACATTTTTCTGTGGAAACCATTTTAAACATGTAAATGTGTAAACTTAAAATGTTTTTAAATTCATAGTTACCTGTTAATATAAAAGATCAAGTTACTGACTTCTAAGCAGGAACTTAGGACAGGAAAAAAATCTTGTTGTAGTTTTTTCTGAAACAACGGTTACAAACATTTTCTTATAAACACTTTCTTCCCGTACATTAACATTGTTGGGTGTTTGTAATAACTAAGCCTGAGTCCATATTTTGCATAAATAAGTCAGTTTTAATAACTTGGTATATATGGCTTTAATTCGATTTTAATTTAATCATAAAATTTTTACATATTTGGTTTTTGTTATGAAAATGGAGTAATATGCTAACAAGTCATTTTTTTTTTCTAGCAAGATTTATTTATTTATGCATACAAGTACAGGGGTAAAGGCCAGAGATGGGGTGGGTGAGAGGATTCATCAGAGACAGAGTAAGGAGCAGAACAGGTGGACTGATGAAGTACACTGCTGAGGGGAGCAGTGAGCGGACAGGAGAGGTCTGCTGTGCCATGTGGGTCAGCTCCCTGGCCAGGGATCAAACTCATGCCATAGTAGCTTGTAATAGCTTGATAGGGCTGAGACTTTAACCCCTGTACCACCAGGAGGCCCTACACAAGTTTTATTTTTATAATTTTTTTCTCATTTCTGTAGAACACATGTTTTAATAAATATTTCTCCTATGCCTTCTATCTGGCAAATACCAAGCTAGATCCCTGTGCTAATGGGGCTTAGGATATGCTCCCTAGCTCATGACCTGATATAAGAGAGACCAGGGGACAGAGAGCAATAATTTTCTGTAATGGGAATTAACCGGATTTCCTTTAGTAAGTTAAAACAGTAGTAAAGGAACAGTCCGCTCCTAGAAACAAAAACAAAAATGTTTCCTTTTGATATGTTAACTCCCCAGGAAGGCTCCTAATGTTTATTTAATTTAAAATGCCTTAGTTAGAGAAGGTCAGCAAGCCAGAAGCTCTGCTGTTTGCCTCTCTAAGTTTAGCTTATTGTTTTAGAAAAGTGATCTTTAGTAAGTGGGACAGTTCATAGTGACCGGTTTTGAACCCTCTTATTTTTGGTCACTATATGTCTTGTACCTGATGAAAAGAGTGAATAGTCCTCTCCCAAGTGATGATATTCCACAATTCTTTTCATTTTGAATGGGTACCTCCAGGCATTTCCACAAATCCTGGGGCAAGAACCCTCTAGGCTGTTGGCTGTTGGTAACTTAGCTCTTCTACTCATTGATTTGATATTCACTGAACCTTGAGCAGCTCATAGGCCTTTAAAAGAGAGATTGGTAGTAAATTTGCAAATACTGTGGTATGCTCTACAACTTTGGCTTTTCAGTAACCTTACCTCATTTAATGGATATGCCCTCAGAATTATGCAGCTACTTGGGATGAGGCCTTTAGGTTAAGAAACATTTATTTCTGGTTTCTGGTCTTCTTTATTAAGATACCTAGAAAATCCAGCATCTCCCAGTGATATTTAAATCACCAGTCCTTGAACTTATGCTATCATTGAGAAAGTCTGTATAGTATTAGTTGTTCCAAGAGTTGTCTCCTGTCTATCACTTAACAGTGAGGGCTTTACTCATTAGCTGTTACCAAGCCCAGGGTGGTATATTGTGGGTTAAAGTGAATACCCTCTAAACAGAGGGCTGTGTGTGTACTTCAGCTGTCATGGAGGTGGGGTTACTGGTAGGAATAGAGTTATAGCTGTGATAATGACTAAGATCCTAGAGTTTAGCTGTAAATCAGGGGAGTTATTCATTCATTCATTCATTCATTCATTCAATTGATTGACTGTCATGTCAGATACTACTCATTTGAGGAAAAGTAATAGGAAAGCAAAATGAACAACCAAACCCTTACTGAACTCATTGTCAATTAATGGAGAATTTTTAATAAAAAATACACATGTAATTATTTACTGCAGTGAGTGCTGTGAGGGACGCTGAGGTGCACATAAAAAGGCAAAGTGGCTCAGTTATAATGCTCCAAGTGAAGATTTCATTCCTGACAAAGTATTTATATATTGTGCTTCTAAGGATATGCTTATTTGTAAGTGTAAAGTTCGGGTTTTAACATGTTTTCAAAGTATTGTGATAATCTGGGCCCGTGTAAATCATCATTATTAGGATTTTTCAAGTTTCCTTTCTCATAATACTCTTTTCTTTCTTCTTCCTTTACAGTATACACTTTGGAATTTCCTCCCAAAGAATCTGTTTGAACAGTTTAGAAGAATTGCAAATTTTTATTTTCTCATCATTTTCCTTGTACAGGTAAGAGATCCGTAAACAACTGCTCAACTTTTAGAAGTTTAATTGCTTCAATTACATTTTCAATCCCATTTCTAACCTTTAAAATGCCCTATAATCAAAGGTGTTTCAGGGCTTATTATAATACCTTTTAAAGTACTAATATTACATTTTAATATTAATATGACTATATTTCTAAAATGGCTTTTTTTTTTAGTTGAAAACTTTGTTACTTTTTTAAAAAAAAACTTTGTTATTCTTTAAGAAACTAATGAATTTCATACCTTGGTCCTAGAAGAACATATATTGTGTGCTATTAAATGTAATGGTAAATACCAAATTAGAAATACAGTTGAGGGCCCTCCCTGGTGATGCAATGGGTTAGGACATAGCACTGCAAGCTAGCGGCAGCCACTTCATTGTGACTTGGATCCCAGCCGGGAGGTGACCCACATGGCACAGCAGACCTCTCCTGACCCGCCCGCTGCTCCCCTCAGCAGTGGACTTCATGGATCTGCCTGTTCTCCCCACTCTGTCTCTGGTGGATCCTCTCTATCCCTCTGGCTTGTACCCCAGTTCTATATGAATAAATAATGAAAATTAAATCTTAAAAAAAATACAGTTAATCCTTGAACAACCTAGGAGTTTATATTTACTGAAAAAAAAATTGCATATAAGTGGATCCACACAATTCATACTGTTTAATTCAAGGACCAACTACAGTCCGCATTAGTAGTTTTACTTTGTTAAACAACACTTTTAACTTAATTGAAAATTCTTCACAGCTTCCCGATTGCACATTTTGCTCTTCCTCATTTGCTCTATTGGTCTGTTTCTCTGTGTTCCTGCTACTGTTTTGTGTTTCAAATTTTAGACATATTGAAGAAGGGAAAAGATAAATATCAGCTGGTTTCACTTTTATGTGGAATATAAAAAAAACAAACATAGGGTCAAAGATAAACTTTGAAAGCTAACCATAGATAGGAGGCATCCAGGAGCGGAGAAAAGGGAAAGGGGTACAGGGAGACAAACACAGGGGAATATGATTATGGACTGTGAGTGCTTTGATAATTGAGAGAACTACAGTGACCACAACTGAGGAGAGAAATCCTATATTGTTCACAAATTAAAAATGATATAAGACAAAAGTACTACATTTAAACATTATTTTAATAATTGAAAATAAAATTTTAGACATATCAAGTTGCTTCATCTATAAGCTATTAAAAATCTTGGACCCTCCCTGGTGGGTCCAAGCTCTGCAAGCTCACTATAGCCGCTTCAGTGCAAGTTTGATCCCTGGCCCTGGAGGTGATCCACATGGCATGGCAGACCTCTCCTGACCCGCCAGCTGCTCCCCTCAGCAGTGTACTTCATCATTCTACCTGTTCTGCTCCCCACTCTGTCTCTGGTGAAGCCTCTCACCACCCCTCCACTTGTGGCCTGTACCCCAGTTCTGTATGCATAAATAATTAAATCTTTAAAAGAATAACATAACCAGGCGAGAAAATAACAAAAATAATGAACAGTCATATACCAGAGACATTCTGTGGGGGGGGGGGAAGGGAGGGAAATGCACGGGACTATGGTGGTGGCACAGGGGTGATTTGGTGATGGGAAACCCGCGGGGATTACAATCGAGATGGGAAAAAAAATGTGCAAAATGATGTAAAAATAAACTTTGTAATAAAAAAAAAGAAAAAAAAGAATAACATATTGATTAGTCCATGAAAAGAGAGAATTTTCAGTATAACATAACATTATAAAAAAATCTTTACTTCATCAGAACTACCCCCTGAAAATTTTATTACTTTAAAGGTACTTTTTCATTTTTAAAACAAAGTAGAAACATCCTAGTGAAATTGCTCAAATGTTTTGTTGGTATTAAGTGCTTCTGTTTATCCACTTTAAAATTTTGAGTAAATGATTCTCTGAATTTAGTCCTGCTGCTTAAAGCCAGTCTGGTTTGTGATATGAGAAAAATCCAATTTCCATCTTCAATGACAGAACATCTGAAAAGGAGCTTTCCTACCATGGTCAGATGTATTATAGACCAGCCTAAAATAAACTACATAGGGGTTTATGCAAGAGTCATTCTGTTTAGCATTCAGTTTAGATGAGCATTTCAGTTTAGCTCAGCAGACATAGACCAAGTGCCTACTGTGTGTCATGCAGGTCGGTAGCAGTTGCAGTGAAGATCAAGATATTTTTTTTCCCTTAAGAAGAAATCTATAACCAAAAGGACAGCAGTCACTTACTCACTTTAACATACTGAAAGTCTTAACTGTGTGAGCAAAGAGCTAATGAGATAGAGTGAAATTAGTGACTTTTTTCCTACCCAAGAGGCGCTTGAGAAGGCTATAGAGAGTAGGTGATATCTGAACTGAACTTTGAAGGATTAGAGGGAGTTTATCTGGTAAAGAACGCCAAGCTGGGATCTTAGTATGAGCACAAAGACACCGCCATACAAAAATGTGTGTCTGTAATACAGGGTATGGAGCAGGCAGGTCTGTGGTTGTTTCAAAATATGAGTCAATGAGTTGTAAGAACAGGTTGAACTCCTGATCCTATGTCCATCAAATCTAGTTCTCCTTTCAGTATTTCCTATTTTAAGTAAGAGACAACATCTGTCCAGCCATGTTAATCAGATGCTTGGAAGACATCTTTAACCATCCCATACAATAAATGTTTTTATTAGTTCTGCCATTTTTGCCTCCTACATCTCTCTGGAACTTCTTTGAATGTCTGCTCTTCTGCCCCCATCTCAACCATCATCTCACCCAGATTATAGCAGTAGTCTCCTAAAGGACTCCTTATTTGGTAGCATTCCATCTTCCACAAAACAGTGAGAATGATCTTTTGAAAAGGTAGTTTTCTTGATACGACGTCTTCCTGCCTAAAAGTTCAGTGATTCTATTCCTAAAAGACCCTGCTTGCTCTGACTCCTGCCTGCCTCTCCAGGCCCACCACCCTCTTGCCGCTAACTTCATTTCTTCACTGTGCTGCACCCCATCTTATCATTGTATGAATTGTTGGCTGTGCATGGAACACCTCCCTTCACACAGTTAACTTCTACTTAATCCGTTAGATCTCAGCATCTCAGCTTGTTTTAATGGCAGTTTTTTCCTGACAGCAGCCAGCTATGTGAGGGCAAGAACTTATTTCCATCTTTTGAAAACCAGTGTCCCTAGAGCCTGGCTGGTAGTAAATAGCACGGGTGTTACCAGAATAGTGTTCAATGAATAGATGATAATGAATAGATATGTAATAGTAAAGGGGTTAATTCAAGCTGTGATTAAAAACTAAACCTGAATATAGGACTATTTTCCTAAATTAACTGCGGTGGGATTGTTCTCTTATTTTAAAGAAAGTTAACATTAATCATGCTACCAGAATGTTTTGTTTGTATGTCTGTCTGAAATGTTTGCGGCATGTAAGTGCTACATATGAGTCCATGGCTTATTTTCATTCTGCTTTCTGTTTCATTTCTTTACCCTAGGTCACAGTGGACACACCAACGAGTCCAGTTACCAGTGGACTTCCACTTTTCTTTGTTATAACTGTCACAGCCATCAAGCAGGTAAATATCTTCCTTACAGTTATGCCTGCATTTCACTTCTATCTGGTTTGATTTCATTGCTATAGGTTCTTTTTCATATTTATATAGTTGGCAGTATCCTTGATGAATTTAGTTTATATTTGATGCCTGTTGGAAACTCATTTAAATAATTTCTTAATCTCTTTGATCCTATCCTCTTCAATATTTTTATGTGGAAATGTAAGCATAAAAGAAAGATTTGGGTAGTAGAAGGTACAGCTCAGTTGAGAAATGGGATGTGAGTTTTTTAAGTGTGCATTAATTTCTTTAGCGTAGCATATCTGAAAAATTCCAGTGCTAGTTTTTGCCTGTAGCAGAGAAGTCAAGAGCATAAGTCCTTTAATTTGGTTGTCTTTCCTGGTGCTGTTACAGAGGGTTGTAGGTAGAGGAAACTTGTCTTTTGGGAAAACCGGCAAACTGCCAGTTTGTAATGTTGATGCCTTCAAAGTTATTTTGAGCACTTTATGCTCAAAATGTGATAGTACCTTTGAAAAAATCCAGGTAAAATTGAAAACGGGGAATTGAAGGTAAAAGGATGGGTTAGCAATGTTTATCATGTACTGGGACAGTCAACAAATTCTGGCTAATTTCAGATACACTCATAGTTGTCAAAGTACTTTTAAAAGCTTCCCAAAGAACTTCCCAAATGATGGTCTGCTTAACAGCACCGTGCCTAAGGGTGCCTTTCCTCTTGGGGCTATCTGGTCTTCTATCTTTCCTACCAGGAATTGCAAGAATATTTTATCAAATGTTTCATTGCTAAATAAAGACTTTTGGAATGTTCTTTTCCTTAGGGTGTTAGGATTGTTTTCTTTAGTATTATAGACTTACTGGTCCAAGAATAGCCTCTGTGGTTTTCAAAAGCTTTACTAATTTATTTTGCTCCCAATACTAGTTCCTATTAGGTCCATTCTTTCCTCGCTGACATCACAGAAAGCACCTTATGAAATGATAGCCTACCTTTGTCACAAAGAGGGACAGAATAGGAATGAATTTAGTACCTAAGGACAAAAGGGGATGCGATCAAGAATTTTCCAGCAGTTATGTTTGAAAAGGCACATACATTGTTTTAAAAAAAGGCAAAGCAATGTTTAAAAAAGGTCATGATCAAACAAATGAACATCCTTCTTCCTTAGTTCTTTTGGCTTAAATCTACTCCAGAAAAAAAAAAAAAAGCCCAAAGAAAACATGAACCATTAGACCGTACCCTGATTATTTATAAACTGAAAGTTGAATACCAATTTATGTTTTATCATCCAATCAGCAAGGAAGTTAACTGTTGATCTCAAAAATTTACCATAGATTCTTTAGAACATAAAAATCGTAGCCTATCTGTTCTAGTTTCTGTTCCTGGTGTAGAATTATATTTCTTAAGAGATGTTTATGCCAACACTGTACAACAGAATATACTTAAGTGATTAGATCTGTAGGAAGATAAAGCCTATTAAACATTTTTAAATAGAGAAAATTTTAAAGTAAAAAAATTAACATTAAGGTGAATAAGAGTAGAATGAGAATACTAAGTCATATTCCTTCACAGATGGAGAACATTGAGGCTCTAACCCTATATTTTCATTAATTCTTAACAGTGAAGTGGTAAAATCCTTTAGCACAATGTATTTACCTAAGAGATATTTTAAAAGCATATTTTAGTTTTTGTTATAAAAGTAAACAGCACTATTTTTAGCATTCTGAATTGTAATTCATTCTGTAAGTATAAATATCAACTGATGACTCAATAAGAGGGTTATAAAACTTTATTACCAACTCTACTTAGTTCTTAGCTTAATTGTTATTTTTATCCTTCTAGGGGTATGAGGATTGGCTAAGACACAGAGCTGATAATGAAGTTAACAAGAGCACTGTTTACATTATTGAAAATGCAGAGCGAGTGAGAAAAGAAAGTGAAAAAATCAAGGTATTAATATTTGGAGTTCATTTTTTTTATTGCGATAAGAACATATTATCTTAAAGTATATAACTCAATAGCCTTTAGTATATGCACAATGCTTTACAGCTAGCAACACTGTATATAGTTCCAGACTATTTTCATTACTCCAAAAGGAAATCCCCATGGCTGTTGAGCAGTTGTGACAAATTCCTACTCACACAGCTCACCACCCCAGGCCCTGGGAACCACTAATCTTTCTGGGTCTATAAATTAACCTATTTTACATAGTTCATATAAATGGAACCATATACTATGTTGTCTTTTGTCTCTATTGATAGGTTCTTGTAAACTGTGACTTTAAGCTAAATAACATACTGTGTGATGAAACTAGATCCTTGAATAACGTCCTGTTCAATGTTGTTTCATTATAATGAGATAAAAAGAGTTCCGGCTAACCTTGAACTTAATGACTGAACTTTATTCAAGGATCTATATACACAGGATATACTATGTTACTAGGTAATGTGGTAATTCTATGTTAAATTTTTTTTTGTGAGCCACCAAACTCTTTTCCCCTGCAGCTAAGCATTTTACATTCCACCAGCAATGTATGACAATTGCAAGGTATAATTTTTTAATTTTTATTCAAATTGATTGTTGATTATTTCCCAAGAAGATGCCTCTTAATAATGTTTTAGAATTCTCCACATCAAATATCTTTTTTTCCCCAACAGATACTATTTCAGTTAATATTTAGAGCAGTTTTAGATTCACAGCAAAATTGTGCACAAAGTTCACAGAGCTCCCAAACCCCGTCTTCCCCAGATAAAACTTCCCTGGTGGGGAAGTTACCAGTATGTTTTTCCCCATGAGAGTGGTACACAACACAGTAGATGATTACACTGACACATCATTATCACCCACAGGTAATCTTATGTACATTAAGGTTCAGTCTTATTATAAAGTCTATGGGCTTTAGAAAATGTATCCATCATTATGGTATCATAAAGAAATTCACTGCCCTAAACATCCTCAGTGCTCTGCCTCCAACCCCAGGCAACTACTAATCTTTTTAGTGTTTCCATAGTTTTTCCTTTTCTAGAAAGTCATATACTGGAATAAGACTGTATTTAACATTTCAGAGTGGCTTCTCTCATTAAATAATAAGCATTTTAGTTTCCTCCAATTCTTTTCCTGGCTTGATAGCTCATTTTTTTAAAGGATTTATTTATTTATGCTTACAGAACTGGGGTACAGGCCAGAGGTGTGGTAGGTGAGAGGATTCACCAGAGACAGAGCGGGGAACAGAACAGGCAGATCGACGAAGTACACTGCTGAGGGGAGCAGCAGGCGGGTCAGGAGAGGTCTGCCATGACATGTGGGTCAGCTCCCTGGCCGGGGATCGACCTCATGCTGCAGTGCCTTCCTAGAGCTTCATAATGCGGTGCTTTAACCCGTTGAGCTACCAGGGAGAGCCCTCTCATTTCTTTTTAATGCTGAATAATATTCCATTGTCGGGATATACCATAGTTTATTTTTCTATTCACCTGTTGAAGGACATTTTGGTTGTTTCCAAGTTTTGGCAATTATGAGTAAATGCTAGAAATATTCTCAGGTAAGTTTTTCTGTGATCAGTTCATTTGGGTAAAATGCCAAGGAGCGTGATTACTGAATCCTATGGTCAAGGTTTATTTAGTTTTTATAAGAAACTATCAAACTGTCTTCCAAAGTGCGTTTTCCATTTTGCATGCCCATCAGCAACAACTGAGAGTTTCTGTTCCCTGGCATACTCCCACCTTTTGGTGCTTGTTGGTGTTCTGGATTGGGGCACTCTAATAGGTGTGTGGTGATACCTCCTTATTTTAGTTTAAAATTCCCTAATAACAGATTTTGTTTCGTATGTGTACTTTCCAACTGAGTGTCTTCATTAGTGAGTCATCTCTAAATTCTAAGGCCTACTTTCATTTTTGAGTTTTAAGAGTTTTTTTGTTTGTTTGGCTAACAGTTCTTTATCAGATGCATCTTTTTTTTTTTAAGATTTATTTATTTATGCATACAGAGCTGGGGTACAGGCCAGAGGTGCAGGGGCGGCGAGAGGCTTCACCAGAGACAGAGTGGGGAGCAGAACAGGCAGATCTATGAAGTACACTGCTGAGGGGAGCAGTGGGCGGGCCAGGAGAGGTCTGCCGCGCCATGTGGTCTCCTCCGGGGCAGGCAGGAATCGAACTCGTGCAAGTGTCTTTAGCTTCTCAATGCTGTGCTTTAACCCACTGCGCCACCAGGGAGGGCCAGATGCATCTTTTACAAATATTTTATCCTAAAGTTTTTTTTTTCATTTTTTATTGTACTAACAGTACTTAACAATAAATTTACCATTTTAATTGTTTTTAAGAGTATTAAATATGTCCATATTGTTGTGCAACAGATCTCTAGAACTTTTTCATGTTGTGGTATAATTCCTCTTACCCACTAAACAATGAATCTCGCTCTCCCCATCTCTTGGCCAACACCCTTCTACTTTTAAGTCTGTGACTTTGACAACTTTAGGTAAATACTTAACATGAGTGGGATCATACAGTATTCATCCTTTTTTGACTGACTTATTTCACTTCACATAATGTCTCCAAGGTTCATCCATATAGCAGGTGGCAGGATTTCCATGTTTTTAGGGCTAGATAATTCACTGTGTATATATGCCACTTTATCTTTATGTATTGGTAGACATCTGGGTTGTTTCCACCTCTTGGCTATTGAAAATAATACTGCAGCGAGCACAGATATCCTTTTTAAGATCCTGTTTTGATTTATTTTAGATATAACCCAGAATTGAAATTTCTGTATAGGATTTCTGGATAGGTAATGCTGTCTTTAATATTTTTGAAGAACCTTCATAGTGTACATAGTGGTGACATCATTTACCTTTGCACTAACATTGCACAAGGGTTCCGACTTCTTCGTCCCCAGCACTTGTGTTTTCTGTTACTTTGGTACTGGATATCCTGATAGGTGTGAAATGATATTTCTGTGATTTTGATCTGAATTTCCTTAATGGTTAGTGACATTGAGCTCTTCTTATTTACATATTAGCCATTTATAAATCCTCTTTGGAAAAATATCTTCTTAGGCTCTTTGCACGTTTTTAAATTGCTTTTTGTTTTTTGTAGTGTTGTAGAATTTCCTTATGTATCCTGAATTTTTAACCCTTAACCAGATACATGCTTTGAAAATCTTTTCTCCCATTCCATAGGTTGTTTTTTCACTCCATTGTTTTCATTTGGTGTATAGTTTTTAAGTTTGACATTCTCATTTGTCTATTTTTTATTTTATTGTTTGTGGTTTTTATGGCATAACCAAAAACATTGCAAAATCCAATGTTCTAAGGTGTCCCCCCCTTGTCCCCCTGTTTTTCTATTAGGAGTTTAATAGATTTAGGTCTTTAATCCAATTTAAGTTACTTTTTATAAGGTCCAACTTCATTTGTTGTTGTTGGTGGTGGTGGTGGTGGTGTGTTTCCCCAGTATCATTTGTTGAAGAGACTGTCCTTTCCTCACTGTGTAATATTGGCAACTTTATCCAGAATTATCTGGCAGTGTATGCTAAACTCCTTGAGAACGTGAACCATCTCTTCCATCTCAGTACATTTAGATTGGCTCATTGATTGAAGTACCAGAGAACAACCTTTGTATATTTCGATTTGATACTAAAGCATGATATACTTATATGAGTACCTTACTTTATCTAGCTTCTGGTGTTTCTAATGCCAAAAACCATACTCCTTGCTTTACAAATAACTTTTATAACTGGAATTCCTGAAGTCCTATTACTCAGCTCTCTTCTCCACATACCATGTGAATCTGTCCTGCATCACAGCTTCATTTGTCACCTAAATGTTAATAAAATCCAAACCTCTGTTTTCATCTAAAACATCTCCTTGATCTTCAAACTTGACTATTCTATATGGATATCTAATAAGTATCTCAGAGTTAGCAGGGTCAAAACCAAATCCCTGATTTCTTTTCATTCCCATCTGTTTCTAAGCCTGTTCTTCTGGTCTTCTTTATCTGATTTAATGATACTGGCATTTTCTTTGGTATCACTGTTTATTTACCCATTTGCTCAGGCTAAAACCAAGAATTTCTTTTTGCTTTCTCTTAACTCCTATGTCTATAATCCAAAAATTATACTGAATATCTTAATCACAAGTCAGTTGGTTCACAGTCTTGGTAAGAAGTATCAATTCCACATCCAGATTTACTTTGATTCAAATTCCAGCTTTCTCACTGGTTGTAGACAGTTCTTAGCTTTCCTTTGCCTCAGTTTTATCACTTATAAAGAAGAAGAAATAAAAAGTTTGTACTTCATAGGATTATTGTGAAATGAGAATTAAATGTGTGACTATAATATAAAATTGAATATTTGACATATTTATGAATTATTATCTCTGCTGTTTTCATCCTAAATTAGTGCTTATGATCTTTTGCTTAGACTGTAGCAGTAACCACTTGTTCCATTATTCCATTTTGCCCATGCCTTCCTCCACTTTACCTATTTTGCAGAATTATCTTTATTTTTTTATTTTATAACAGTTTATTTTTACATCATTTTGTACTTTTTTTTTTTCATCTCAATTGTAATCCCCACGGGTTTCCCATCATCAAGAGAATTATCTATATATATATATTTTTTTTTTTAAAGATTTATTTATTTGTGCATACAGAACTGGGGTACAGGCCAGAGGCTCAGGGGCAGCAAGAGGCTTCACCAGGGACAGAGTGGGGAGCAGAACAGGCAGACTGATGAAGTACACTGCTGAGGGGAGCAGCGGGCGGGTCAGGAGAGGTCTGCCGCGCCATGTGGTCACCTCCGGGGCAGGCAGGAATCGAACTCATGCGGAAGTGGCTTTAGCTTCTTAGTGCTGTCCTTTAACCGCTGCGCCACCAGGGAGGGCCGAATTATCTATATTTTTAAAATAAAAGAAAGTTGTTTCTTTGCTTCAAAACATTTAGTGGAATTCCCATTGCAGTGAACATGCAGTCCCCGCCCCACACCCAAGCAGTCAAACATTTTGCCATTTTTGGTTTATAAACATCTCTTCCCACACACAAATAATCCAGAAAGAACTCAGTAACATTCCACATAAGAGCATCAACTTATTTAATTAAGATTATACCTGAGATCAACCTCAAGGCAAAGAAGCCTGGTGAAGGAAATTTGTAAGGTGGAGGTCTTTTTATATAGGAGTTAGGGAGTTTTGAAGGGTGACTATAATGTCATAAAGAGGATGTTTGCATAGTGCCCCTGGAGCAACAGATTTAATGGTATACATTGTGTAGGCTGCCTCTGGTTCTCATGCTGAATATTGAATTTCTACAATATGACTGGTTTAGGTACTTCAAATACTATCCACCCTAGTTCATCATATGGTCTTTTCCTCTGGGATGCAGAGAATGGAGTAAAGAAAAAAGAATAAAAGGAAGACATTCTGAGAAAACTGCTTTTAACCCATTTCAGAAAATAAGTATTTTTGGAGTTTAGAGACATGAGGTGGGCCTAAAATACCTTGTAGGATCTAGAAAGCAGGCTTTGAAAGTACTTCCATTTACTAAAGTATAGATGGTGGTTTTATATAAGCAACGTAAGTGTTTATGTAAGTGAGGAAGGAACTATCCAACAAAATTAAATGTTATTTACATTAGTTCAGTTATTGATGCTGTTGCTTTTGGCCACTGGTTGGTAAAGAAAATAATATTGTTCCCAAATGGGTCTTGCAGTCCTCATTTTTATTTGCCAAATCATACTGCAAGTAGAAGGCAGATATGTCATTTGTTCATTTAGTGTTTCACAACCTTATGTCCAGATTGGGCTGCTGTCCAGATATTGACTCCTTCCTAATGTGGCTTATATACTGCCACCCGCAGGCCCCTGCCTCCATCTAAGGTTGCTGTACAGAAGTGTCACTTACCATTTTCTCTATCTGCCACAATGTGAAATATGTTAGGGAACACTAGACTGTCTGATTTCTTAAACCCTTTCCCAAAAAGATGTCATGAGTATTCGTAAGTTGGGAGTAAAGTAGTCACAGGATATTAGCAATGGTTATAATTAACACTTATTTGATGGTGAAGACATGTGCCAGGTACTTACTAAACACTTCCAGTGTATCAATCCATAGTACTTGCAGTCACCTAAGGCATTTACTCATGGTGATACAGTTAAGTGGCACAGTTTGGACAAAAACTGAGGTTTCAGACTTATACCTTTCAACCATTCAAAGTTACTCCTTACATTATTAAATAAGATGCATGAAGTCTTTGCAAATGTTTTTCCTCTGCTTGACTTTAAGGTACTTGCTGATTGTTTCTTATTGCTGATTCATCGATTCTTCTGATAGCAGATGAATTGTTGGAAAGTGATCTGTCTGAAAAATAATTGTTCAGTGTTACAGGAAAGAATAGATACTTCTAATTAATGTAGATTGTCTGAGCACCAAAGAAGGAACTGGCACTCAACAATAATAGCTATTACCACATGGAAGGCAAACCATGTTGAAATATGCAGAATACAGAGTGGGAGTCTGGCTACCCAATGTTTGTGAAGTGCTCAAGTTGAGACGTGTAGATTTTCTTGATTCATTCATGAAGATGATAATGGTCATTGTCTCTTATCAAACAGTGCCAGGAATGTCAGACAACAAACAGGTTCTGGAATGCTGAAATTGTTTGTTAAACTTCAGTATTAAGGTAATCTGAAGCATCATCACTCTCTGTGACCTTAAAAAAGATTCTAGCTGTTGAGTAATACTGCTCTCATCACCTTTCACATGGCATGGGACGCTGAGGCACTCTCTAAGCCTCAGAGTAGGAGATTTCTTTGTTACTGTTTGACTTCAGTTTGAGGTATACTTTGTTTAGAATAAAAAATATTTATTACTACTTCCTCACCATTCTAGGTTGGTGATGTAGTGGAAGTACATGCAGATGAAACCTTTCCCTGTGATCTTATTCTTCTGTCATCCTGCACTGAGGATGGAACCTGCTATGTCACTACAGCCAGTCTTGATGGAGAATCCAATTGCAAGGTAATGGAAACTAAACCTTGCACAAACATTTTGAGTATTCATACAACACTTGTTCCCACTATTCCCTATTTTTTTCCTTATTTTTCCCTGTGTAAATTTTTTATTTAAAAACAACTTTTATATAATTGTCTTTGAACTTTTGAGCAAATACTCAACTTCAGGGACAAGGGTGGAGTTGAGTAAGGAGAAACTACACCCCAGATAAGAAAGAGCAGCCACATTTGTAGTGGCACTGCTTGTATTCAGTGTTGACACAACCCAAAATTTTATTTGGGCTTTTTAAAATGAGAGCTGTCATAGGCTGAAGCTATAGTACCAAAAAATAGCTTCACGTACTCTAACCTTACAGTTTGATATATTTTTACTTTTTATATTTTTTAATGTTTATTTCTGGCACATTAGAAAATCTAACCTAGGATAATTTGATTACTTTTTAAATAAAACCTTAGGCTGTAGTTTGGCAAATGTTTGCTTTACTGCAGCTAGGAAAAAAAGTATAAATATGTTAAATTTGTTCAAAATGAAGGATATCTTACTTCCCCTGGTTCCTCCTGACACAGTCAGTTCTTGGCCAGTGTCCAAAGCTCTGCACCGCATAAAGATGTAGCCTCTCTTGCCACCTTTAAGGAAGAGTACTAATGTGCTCACCTCTGTGTATCCTTGGAGAACTTTGCTGTTTATTGCACCTGGGGTTAAGGACACAGGACTCAGTATGTAAAAAAGGAAGCTAAACACCTACTAGGTAACTAATTCTGTACTTCAAGGGCATAATGATAAACTAACCCCATTTAAACTGTTCAAAAACAAAGTCTTACTTGAGGAAATATCAAGATAAAAATTGAGAAATTTACCTCATGATTCTCTACTAGGTGAAAAAACTGTTCAGAGGATGAAAACTTTTTCAGTTAGATTGATCTGATCAAGTCAGCTGAAAGTATAGGCATTTTGAAAGTCAGGGGACAGTTTTAAAGATAACTCAGGTATTTCCATAATATTCCCTGCTGACCACCAATTTTACCTTCTGCGTTAATGCTACAGTCTTTGAATCTACTTGAGTTCTTTTTTGATGATTTATAAATGGGTTAATTGGAGCCAGCCTTGAGTTCTGGTGAGTGAAGTACATAATGTACACTAGTAGAATATTCTACTATCTGACTAAAACAAGCCATAACCTCCTGCTCCTTGTATGGAATGTAGCCACTTTGAACATTTTCAGGACCATTAATTATGCCATTGTGTAATGAAACTATTGATAATTTTTTTCTTGCTCTTGGCAAGATGTTAGTGTTCTTCTGACCAAAAGGTTACATTCAATTTATTTATTTATTTTTAAAGATTTATCTATTTACACATACAAGGACTGGGGAACAGGCCAGAGATGGGGGGGGGGAAGCATGAGAAGATTCACTAGAGTGGAGAGCAGAACAGGTAGACGGACTGAAATAGACTGCTGAGGGGAGCAGTGGGCAAGACAGGAGAGGCCCGCTGTGCCGTGTGGATGAGCTCCCTGGCCAGGAATAGAACTCGTGTTGCAGTGGCTGTGGATAACTTTATAGTGTTGTGCTTTTACCTCTTGGGCCACCAAGGAGGGCCCAGTTATGTTCAATTTAGATGTGTATATTTACATCCCCATATACTGGTGAGCAAAATAATAGGTCTCACTTTTATAAATAGAAGGAAAAAATTAAATGTATTTAATTCTTCATGGGGGTTTCAGTTAATTATATGCATGTTGCAAATGGAATTCTCTGTGCTGTCATTATCAAGAAAAGCTTTTAGTTTTTTCATTATCTTTGAAATCCTCTTGCAACAGGATTATCTTTCTAATTATTTGTAATGTATTTTAAGAATACTGTAGAACTTATTCAATGGGAAGTAGGCATCAATATATGTATGATTTTGCCAAAGTCTCTTACTGAAACTGTGGTTCTTGAATGAGGTGGGTGTTTAATTATGAAAAGAACCCTTTTTTTGTTTTTTCTCCTGCTGCTTTCTTGTAGACACACTACGCAGTACGCGATACCATTACACTGTGTTCAGCCGAATCCATCGATAGCCTCCGAGCTGCAATTGAATGTGAACAGCCGCAACCTGACCTCTACAAGTAAGCATCACCTGGCTTCATTTTACTATCTGTTGACTCTGCTTCTGTTTGCTTCCAGTATAGCATAGAAACATCCACCACTTACCATTCTCATTTCATCTGTGTTTGTATGAGCTGTTTCTTCCTTCTGGAAGGGAAATGAATCAAATAAGCCTTATTCACTACCAGCCTAAGATAAATCATTATGGGCCCAGTCATCTTACTTGTGATTTTTCTTTTATTTCTGTTATTTATAAAATGGCCATCCATCACATTTTAAGATTATGTTATCCTATAAAGCTCATCTATCAAGCTAATGCATTAATCAAAGTTAATTAAAATAATAATAAACCCTTTCTTATGTCACCTAACATTAAATAGAGAAAGCTATAGGGGGCCATGTAGTTAGTAGGCTTGCTTTCCTTTTTATGATGCTCACAATGAACTGAGGATTGCAAATAGACTGTTTCTTATCCACATTAAATAGTTACATGGAAGGAACAGCACAATGTTATAATAATTTTGTATCACTGAGATTGTCTGCAGTAGTTATGTTGATAAGCAGTCATAAGTTGTCAGAAGTTTGGCATCTGATTTTTAAGACTGGTTGGTTTGGTTGATTAGAGCATGGTGTTAATGAGGTTAGAGTGACAGGCTAACCCCCAAGTGTACCAATTAATTTCATTCTGTTACACCACTACTGATGGCATCTGCTACCTCTGACTGCCATCTTATCAACACATGCTGTGGTGATAATGGGGAACCAAATGGTTAAATGTGTCTTATACCAATGCCCAGTGATGGATAAATGAAATGTTTATTCTACTGCCAGAACAGTGCTCTCCCTGCTTCCTATTGTTCCTTCTTTCCTCTTTCCCTCCTTTATCGACTTTGGTAATAGGAAGTCAGTAGGACTACAAACCAAAACAACCATGCTTCATTTTCACCATGAGCAAAGGTGATAAATAGTAACACTAGACTTACAGTATAGTGAGATGGTGCAGGTGAGTGCAAGAGCCATAGAAGCACATAAAAGGGAGCACTGACTGCCTGAGTTAGAGAATACTTATGTATCTTTACGGCAACTCCTAAATTTTTCAGTTACCTCAAATATAAAGGAGAATGTTTAGACAAGGAGGGTTGTGCCCATTTGTCTTTAGTTCACGGTACTGCCCAGTTCCAATTGAATTCCTTTCCTGTGTGACTTCAGAATATCTTATACTTTCACCACTCCAGTGGAATCAAACTTGTGTTGTAATTGCCTCTTTACTCTTTGTCTTAGGGCAAGGAACACCTAGGCAATACTGGTATACTTACTAAATGGTGAATGAATGAGTGAGCAGATCTTCATATTTAGTGTATGTAGTCATGTAAACTAGTTCCATTTTGGGGGGGAAATGCTGATTATTAAATAGTCATAACACTGTTGTTAAGAAGGGATTGGGCCTTTTACCCCATTGCTCAGACATGCAGATTACCATGTGTCTAACCATGTGATCAGATAAAGCTAGTATGGAGATAGCTGCAAAGCTCAGACTATAAATTTCCAAAATGGTATTCAAGTATTCACTTGAATAAGACTAATATTGTGGTTCTCAAAGCGTGATTCTGGGCCAGCTGCATGAGCCTCACCTGGGAGCTGGTTGGAAAAGCAAATTCTCACCTGAATCATAAGCTGGGTAGGGGACCCAGAAATCTCTGATGACCCTGATGCATGTTCAAGTGAAAGAACTACTGAACTAACATTTTTGAAAGTTGTATTTTGGCACTAGATAACCTTTCTTCATATGAATCTAAAATAGAAGCCAATTGTTTATATAAGGTATAAAAGAGAGTGGTGGTATGTGCATGCACAGTGCCAAGTAGAATTTGAAGATCAATTTAGAATCTTTGTTTACATTCTCAATAATCCATACTACTTTTTAAAAGATAGGAAAATATTAACATTTACCATCTACCACATATGTACCCAACTGTAATATAATCAACATGACTTTTTTCCACAAAAATATAATGGGCTTCCATAGTCAATTCAGTTTTATCTTGGTTGTACTTTGATTCATTCTCTTATCTGTGGTATATAGATTTTTCCTGGACATGCCAAACATATATGCTGTTATGTTCTTCTTGCAGGTTTGTTGGGCGAATTAATATCTACAGTAATAATCTTGAGCCTGTTGCCAGGTTAGTTATTTTTTTATCTGTCCTTGGGGGCTGGAGTCAGTTACCAAATAATTTTCTATATAGAAAGAGATAAAGGGCACTAAACCTGGAATAACTAACCAGCATCCCACTAGTGGGTCTCAAGTAACTAACTTTGTGATTGACAGCTTTGTGTGGCAGGCTCTGGGTATGTTTCCCGGGAGCAGGGCCAGGGTGTCGCAGGCGATGTTGAGGGTTTCTGAAATAGCAGCACCCTCGCCATCCTGACTGTTCTCCCAGGTCTGTTTTAGACACTATAGTTGTTGTCATGTATAGCTGCAGAAGAACGTTTAGGGACAGTACCTGAGGAACTAGGTAGCAGATAAAATGTTGGGAGAATCACATGGATTAAAGTAAAATGATAGGCTAATGATGTATAATGAAGTGATTCATATAAGAATAGATGTTTTCTTCCTGCTTCTATCATCCAATTAATTAACTTCAACTTTTCCACTTGGCCTTCATACTTGTACTCAAAGGCAGTGAAAGAAACCTTGGATGCCCATTGACTCACCCAGCAGGCGGGTTTGCTCTCTATGAATATTATGTCACTTTGACTTTTCCACCTTGACAATTTGCTTTCCCAGTCTTTTATCTGAATCCTTCTCTTCTTTTTTTTTTTGGCTGTCCATGGCCACTCTGTCCTGTTCTGGTCTTGCTGTCTATGACTCATAATCCTTTTATGTCTTTGTGCATCTCTTTACCTCTGTGTGTTGCTGGCTACTCCTGTGCTGTGTTTCCATCTGCGCTGTACCTTCAGGTGACTGTAGAGAGAAGGATCTTTCAGCTCCTCCTGGGGAGGAGCATATGATATAAGTAGACAGATACATTCTGACCCCCTTGGAAATAGATGTGTGGTAGGGGCAAAACAATGCCCCAAAGTTACTGATGCCATGCTTATATAAACTCGTGTTTGTTTTTTTATTTAGGTCTTTGGGACCTGAAAATCTGTTGCTGAAAGGAGCTACTCTAAAAAATACCAAGACGATATATGGTGAAGTTTTTAAGATATGTTTATCAGAAATAAGAGTTGTAAAGCTGTGCATAATCAGTGCATGTGAAAAATTAGACAAGGCAGATAACTGCCCTTGAAGCCTCTTTTTAGATGTTTGGAATTTATAGGATGGTAAACTAATGAAAAAATAAACTACAGAATTAAAGTCATTGTGAATGATATATCAACAAATGAATAGAAGGATTAGAATTTCTACTTTTATAATAAAAAAATTAATAGAAGCAACTGGGTGGAGAGTTGGTTGATCATCTCTGTTGTAACCTATTTTCATTGTAATCTGTTACACTTTAGGAGTTGCTGTTTACACTGGGATGGAAACCAAAATGGCTTTGAACTACCAAGGGAAATCTCAGAAACGTTCTGCTGTTGAAAAGTTAGTATGCACTACACTTTCTTTCATTGTTACTGACCAGAAATTGTGACTTCTCAATAATTTCCCAATAGCAACCAAAACCAAAAAATCATCCATTATGATTTGAAAACTTTATGTTTCAGAAACTGTGCTCAGTGACATGGGTATCTGATTGAGTTTACTCCTCTGAGCAACTCCATGAAGTAATCTTTAGTCTCTCTACTTTACAGATGAGGAAATGATCTCAGAAATTATAAGTAACTTACTTAAGCTCATGTATCTACTAACACAGAGCTTACTTGAACTGTTATAGTATTATATTTTGCTGCTGGATAATGGTTTGGGTACTCAGGTCACTATATGCAAGGGGTTTCCACAACGTACATGATAGTCTCAAATACTGAGGACTTCTAAGCCAGTTGCTTCTGGCAAGGACATTTCTGTCATTGGCATGGATATTCAGAGTATCAGGGCAGCCTCTCCACAGTTCTATTTTTAGACTAAAAGAATCCACCATAAGCTTGAGAATTTCTTCACATTTGCTATTCCATTTTTTACCCTAATCCTTTAAGTTTCAGGGAAATGGGGGAAAAAAGATTAAGGGCTGAGTAGATATTGGAAGGGTGGGAGAACTGGGTGTATGTTCTGTCACTTTACAGGAACTTTATGAAAGGTACGTTGAACTAGTCAGTTTCAGTGAGCCACAGACAGGTCTTGGCTGCCTTTTCCAAACTTACCACTTAAAAGTAATAATACTTCAGCATGGTAACGAAGGGTCATATATACAGGCTTGTACAGTGGTTCCATACTGTACTCATGAAAAGCATTAGAACACTGAACAGTTTATTTTATATTTGATTGATGTCTTAAGTAATTAGATGATTTTTAAATCCCTAATGTATTTTTTTCAGATCCATTAATGCCTTCCTGATTGTGTATTTATTTATCTTACTGACCAAAGCGGCAGTGTGCACAACTCTAAAATATGTTTGGCAAAGCACCCCATATAATGATGAACCTTGGTATAACCAAAAGACTGAGAAAGAGCGAAATACTTTTAAGGTAATGCCTTTTATTTTTTTGCTAAAAATGTTCATTTTGTCAGAAAATTCTAATTCTAGCATTTTGTGACCAAGCCATCCTTTAAAAAAAATGTTTCTCAAATAATGTCACCTTTCGTTAGCTTCTGGATTTTCTTTTGGTTGTATGGTAGCCGTTAAATATTTAAGAAGTTTGGCCCTCCCTGGTAGCACATCAGATTAAAGCACAGCACTAAGAAGCTAAAGCCACTCAGCATGAGTTCTATCCCCACCCAGGAGGTGACCCATATGGCGCGGCAGACCTCTCCTGGCCCGCCAGCTGCTCCCCTCAGCAGTGTACTTCATCATTCTACCTGTTCTGTTCCCCGCTCTGTCTCTGGTGAAGCCTCTCACCGCCCCTGCACCTCTGGCCTGTCCCCCAGTTCTGTATGCATAAATAAATAAATCTTTAAAAATATTTAAGAAGTTTTAGGGTGTTTTTTGTTTTACTCTTTAAGCATGTGTGCTTGTTTTTAGCTCTTTAGTTAAAAGTTTTAATCTACGGCCCTCTCTGGTGGCGCAGTGGGTTAAAGCACTGCACTAAGAAGCTTAAGCCACTTCCTCATGAGTTCAATCCCCGCCTGCCCGGGAGGAGATCCACATGGCGCGGCAGACCTCTCCTGATCCGCCCACTGCTCCCCTCAGCAGTGTACTTCCTCTGATCCTCCTGTTCTGCTCCCCACTCTGTCTCTGGTGAATCCTTTCACCCTCCACATCTCTGGCCTGTACCCCAGTTCTGTATAAATAAATAAATAAATAAATAAATCTTTAAAAAAAAAGTTTTAATCTACTAGACAAGAAGTTGTGGTGTATTAATATAAGCTTGTGACAAATATGATAGCAGCATGGCAGAGCTCTGGTCACACATTTGTATCTGGGGTTGATTGGTTAAGAAACAGTCAAGTTAAGAAAGTGAAAATGTGTTAGATCAAAGGTTCAAAGATGAAATTAAAAGTGTTTAAAATATTGTCATAACATATTGTGATAATTTGACTACAGTGATAAAGTGTTGATGGGAGGTTTCTTTGTAGGAAAAGCAGTGCTTTCAGCATTTAACTAAAAAGAAAATGAGCAATTCATATTACACTTCTTTGATGGAACTGAACATCTAATTAGCATGAACTATTTCTTTTGTTTTAGGTTTTGAAAATGTTCACTGATTTCCTGTCATTTATGGTTCTGTTCAACTTTATCATTCCTGTCTCAATGTACGTCACAGTAGAAATGCAGAAATTCTTGGGCTCCTTCTTCATTTCCTGGGATAAAGACTTTTATGATGAAGAAATTAATGAAGGAGCCCTGGTTAACACATCAGACCTAAATGAAGAACTTGGTCAGGTTAGAACATATTTTTAATTAAAATAAGCATAACATAGTGAAAATGTATTTTTATGCACTCTGAGTACCAATATGTGTGACCATTTCTCAGGTTGAAATGTGATTCAAGTAAAATTCCTTTATGTGGGCATGTGATGAAGGCAAGCAACTTCAAATATTTTGCTGGTATTTTTTAAATTAACATCCTAATTTATGAATTATATTTATATGTTACAGAAATTCTATTAAAACTAATTTTATGTTGTTAGATTATGGGCTACTGCTGCTTTGGAATAGAAATTGTGTAGTTTTCATCACCATCTCTAACCATTTGGCTATATTATACAGGGTGGTAAATATAGGTATTTTATAAGTTCATTTTTTCCCCTATAAACAAAATTGACCGGAGTTGTCGTGTTGACATTTTCTTGGTGCATTTCTGAACTGATGGCATATAGGTCTAGCAAGCAGAGTAGTTTTTTATCTCAGTGCAAAAATTTAAATGAAGGAGAAAGGTGAGGGCATGCACTCCTCAAAATGCTTTTTGCTTCAGTATACCAATGAAACCCAGGCTGTGACCTTGTTTCTAACCCAGGTGCATTTATTTTCCAGTGCTAACTATAATTCTTCACGTTATGACTGCTTAGGTATTTTCTTATCAGGACTGAGAAAGTTTTTCCCTTTGTCTGAATTTACTTTGTGTCACATAATGGTATTCAAAAGATGAGGGAATTTTTTTGGCTTACACTTAGTTCTTGTGATATTTAGAATGTCAAGGCTGTGGAAATGTCATTTCTGTGACTGAAAGATGCAAATTCATTTATTTGAAACTGTGACTAATGGGGCCTCACACTTGTGTTAAATGGTGTCACTTTGCTTATACATCTCAAAACTCTCGAATTTCCATCCCCATTCTATTTCTGCTCTTCATATCACCTTTGCCTAAACCAAAGTAGTGTCCTGACAACTGCAGTCACAAGGGTGAAAGGGCTCTCCAGATAGCATTTTTAGAGCTGACTTCAAGAGTCCAGTGTCCTAGAGACAGCAAATCACTAAGCATAGAAGTAAATGAGCAAAAGCTCTTCATTTATTGTTCCCAGAAGATTCTTTTGTGAGTGACTTCAGCCACCACAACTGATGTTAGCCTTTCTAAACCAGAACTTCTCATCTGTGGCCAGAGCTGGCTTCATAGATCTACTCTAGTAGTTTTGGCAAAAGGCATCAACCTGTAGCAAGCTTTTCCCTGACAGCTGATATAGTTGAAGATAGTTTCCCTGTTCTAGATCCAGTGCCTGGCTATGAATGTTTGCAGCTTATGTAAATAGAACAGTGTCATTCCATATGTGATACCTAATGCCACCAGAGATAGACAGGATGTCCAGGCCAGATTCCGCTAGATTTATTTCAGATCTTCACCTCAGCAGGTTCCATATTACATTGAGAATATAATTTTGTTCATATTATCTAGACTATATTCACACTGCAGAAAATAAAGTAGAGCTTTGGCTAATGATCTGGTAAATTTGGTCAGTGAAAGGAAGCTAGCTACAGTTTTCAGGTCAACCACTGTTCCCTTCCCCTAGCAAACTCTCCTTTTATGGATATGCTTGTCATTTAGTGAAATCACCAGTAGTCAGACCACCACTTCAATTAATAACGTTATAGAAACGATCTTGCCATCATTATCTGCTCATGTGGAGAAACTACCTGAGTGAAAATGCAAAAAAGTCCTACCTTGGGCCATGTGGCATCCAGTGGACTTGTATATACAACATTAAGTGTGGCCACATTTCTCTTTGGTGGGTCATAATTTAAGGTCAACAGACTATTCATGTTTCTAAACTCTTGTCAATTAGCCCCTATCAGTGCCACTGCAAATACTTCCTGACCTCTTTAAACGGCCTGTACTGGTCATTTTTAGGACACTGTTTGACTTGAGAAAAGAAACACACTGTTCATTTCAGTTGGAAAACAACAGGATGCTTTGTGACTGTGGTGCTAGTCTCTAGCCTCCTATTCCATGTCTTCTCCCAGTCTTCCAGCTGTCACTAGTGCTGTGATTTTCATAATCTGAGTATATTCCCTGATTCAAATTATTCAGTGGCTATCTGTTGAGCTTCTGTCATGAATGTGGAATGGTGTGGGTGCTAAGGTTACTATTATGAAGCAAAGGAGAAACCCACTAGGAGAAACACACACATCTGACCTAACTATAGCAGTCTGGTTATAATTGACTAGAAAAACAGGAAATGTAGAAATAGAAAGTCTAGTAGTGTGTGATTTTGGTTAGGTCAACAGAAATGATGATCACTATCTACTTAAATAATAGTTTATAAAGCATTATGTTATTGAGATTTGTTTTATAATTTTTACAGCCATGTACAGCAAATATTGTACTTGAAGGTTAAATATTTAAAGTGCAGAGAGATGAAGAGATTTCTCCCAGGTCGCAAAGTTAGTGGGAAGTGAAGCCAGGACTCTAGGCCAAGTGATCCATTAGTTAGAATTATAGGAAAATTTTGACCTACAAAGTAGAGAATTTTGTGTTTTCAACCTTTAGCTTTGGGCTCTTTCTACTCTAGAACAGCTGTTTCATTTGAGACTTTCTATCTATAAATGATGGATTTGGGCTTCCTGAAAGAGAGCGCTTTTCTGGCAAACTTAAGCCCACCAGTGAAGAGGAAGTGGTTATTGGGAGTCAGAGTGAAGCAGCCGCCTGTCACTCTTAGCCCCGTCTTCCTAATTTCCTGAGTGAGTGGCATATATCTGAGCAGCGGTTCTCCAAGTGTGACCCAGGACCAGCAGGAGTATCATCACCTGGGGACTTAGTAGAAATGCAACTCATATAGCCCCACCCCAGAACTGCTGAATCAAAAACTCTGGGGACAGACCCCAGCAATGTTGGTCTTCAGCAAGCACTCCAAATAAGTGCATGGCCCCCTCCAACTTGAGGAGTAATAGATTAGGCTCTGACTGTGTACCTTTACCTGTGGGATTCCTTGCATGCAGTCACATGTTGTGTGCCTAGAAAATAGGCAGCAGTTGCACTTCATATTTTTAAAACCTTTGGTGCACATAACAGATGTCTAAATGGGCTAATGTTCATTACTGTGCAGGAGGTGCAACAGCCCAGGACAGCCTTCAGGGGTGAGAGGAGGAGGTAATAATTTTGATAGGAAAAAAGCCCCAAAGAATTTCATCTTAACTGGAAAAATCTAGACAATATATGAATAATACTGCTTGGATTTAAAGAGCGAATTCAAACTTGGCTGGCTAACAGGGAAAAAAAGGGAAGATTGGAATGCTATATTTGTGCCAGTGCTGCTACTGTGAAAAGCTTTGAAAAATAATTAGAAAGCAACGACTGCTGGAGTTCATCTCATCTTCCTTACATAATAAAAACCTTAATCTTGTGCTTATGCTTATTCCTGTCAGCCCATAATTTTAACTATTTAAGCATAAATTGCCCAAAAGGAAGATAAAATTGTGGTTTTCCAAAAGCCAGATGTTATAAATAGAAGAGAGAAAAACTGAGATAAAATGGATATACTCAGAATACTTTATTTTACATAGGAAGTTTATTTTATAATTTATTTTTCCATTACTTAGGGAAGTATGCTTATACCTTAACTTATCATTAGCATTCTGCTTTCTTAAACTTGAAAACTTATTTTGAGGAGTTACCTGAAATTACACACAGACTCTGGAAAGGAATTTCAATTATGATTTTGATCATTATTGATGTATTGTGTCTTCTAATTAGGTAGCTGTTAACTTTATTTCCTGGTCTGTCTTCTATAATCTTACATGCATTATATGATATTGTATATTTTACTTCAATCCAGTATATTTATATATCTTACTTTTCAAGGAAATGTTTTGTTATATCTCACAGAAAATTTAAGTTCCTATCAGATATTGTGTGTGGGGGTGTGTGTGTTAATACATGGTCAGTGTATTCTTGTTTCCCACTTGGGTAACTCAAGTTTTTTTTTTTACTGTAAACCCTTTACATTAAAACAGGTAGGTGTTAAGTTAAAGGGTTCTTAAGTTAGATAGAATAGCCACATTTTTCTTTCTTAACAATCTTTTATATTTGAGTAGAGCTACCTTAGACGTATGATCTGTTTTAATCTTTAAAAATACTTGTTCATTTCTCATGCATTTCATAATACAGCTTCTGTAGTTACCTGACATTTGACGTCTTAGGAAAAGATTATTTTCTGTAGATTATTTTCTGTTAGCTATATTGCCTTATAGCTAACTAAAATTTAATCATGCCAAAGAAAGTGAAAATGCATGTTTGTGTCCTTGTTTTTAGGTGGATTATGTATTTACAGATAAGACTGGAACACTCACTGAAAATAGTATGGAATTCATTGAATGCTGCATTGATGGGCACAAATACAAAGGTGTAGTTCAGGAGGCTGATGGACTCTCTCAGACTGATGGACCCTTAACATATTTTGACAAAGCAGATAAGGTGGAATTTTCTACATTACCATTTTACCTCCAGATATCAGTCTATTTGCACTTGTAACTCTACATAGTAGAAATAAAGAATTTTGTAGTAGCACATGACAAAGTCTTTTGAATAACAATTTGTTCCTTTGACTTTCTACTCTTACTAACTCCTCTAGAACTTGTAAGCAAGTATAATTTACAAGTAGAGAGAATTGCGGAAAATGACATTTGGGTAAAACTTTCACTTGTCTGTATGATGATTTTTTGTGTTTGTCTGAAAAGCGTCTCTGTTCTAATCTTTCTAGTCCCAGGAGTGTCTAGGCATTAAATGAACCAGAGTCTCTCTGAACCTAAGCTATTGCTATTACTAGATCGTGAATGTGATACTGAACAAATTCTTTTAGGCAATGAAAAAGGTACTGCTTTGGTGCTCGGTGATAACTTGAATAAGCTAGAACAGCTCCTAGGATATGTTAGCTGAGAGACAGGAACTCTGCTAGGTATTAGGAGGATATATAACTCCTTTGAATATTAGGGATTTATAATGTTCTGCTATTCATTTAGCTGGAGATTATGACATTTCACTTTACTATCTGTTCAGTGACTAGTTATCATGTGATCCAAGTGAAATTAATATAGTCATTGTTACTGTCCAACAGAATAGAGAAGAGCTCTTTCTGCGCGCCTTGTGTTTATGTCATACTGTGGAAACAAAAGCAAATGATGCCGTTGATGGATCTACAGAGTCAACTGAATTAACCTATGTCTCCTCCTCACCAGATGAAATAGCTTTAGTAAAAGGCGCTAAAAAGTAAGCATTTAAATTATGCTGGGTGGTTAAATTCTAGAGATCAGTACAGCTTACACCAGTAGTCAACAATATAGTATTTGGCACTTGAACATTTGTTGAGAATAGATCTCACATTAAATGTTCTTACCACAAACAGACAAAACAGCAAGCAACACAGGAACCTTTCTGAGAGATGTTGAATGAGTCTCTTAAACTTGTTTGTGGTGTTGCTATCATGAATATATCTCAATAAAGGTTTTTCCTTTTTTTTAACCTCGGAAAAAGTTGTAGGGAAATGCATTAGCATTTTTAAAGAGTGTGGGGGCTGGGAGAGTTAACACTTCTGGACTTTTCTTGAAAAAAATGAAATCAAAGGAGTTATTTTGTGTTTTCTTTATAACCTATTCTTATAAATATCCTTATTCTTTAATAAAAGCTACTCTGCTTTATATGAAAGTTTGTAAAAAATTCCCAAACCAGTTAAGACTAAAAGGAAATAGCAGCACATTGATATAACTTGCATTATCATTAATTCATTCCAGCCAGAACTCCGAATGTCCCTAGTATATTTTGCAAGTCATACAGTAGCCACTTTTTGTACACCTCATGTTATTTCTGAAGTGCTCCCAGCAATTTTGACATCATCTGGTAACTGACAGTCCTGTTCTATGAGGCCCAAGATGGTTAAGTCACTGAAAGCTCAACCAGTGTGTTTGCTACAGAATTGGAATTATGAATTGCCTCTCCTTGGTTGCAAGGATAGGGCGTTCACTTTCTCTTTGTTATCATCTGAGCCAGAAAATGGAAATACTGTTATAAAGTGAGATGACATGAAAAAGAAAAGAATAAATACAGGTAACCCCAGCACAGGAGAAAATTAATCATTCTTTAGGAAATGATATAAAGATCTTTTTTAATTTTTTTTCATAGGTATGGGTTCACATTTGTAGGAATTCAGAATGGCCATATGAGAGTGGAGAACCAAAAAAAACAAATAGAAGAGTAAGTATGTGTGTTTGATATCTGTCACTTCTTAACCCCACAATCAAACCTTAGAGGGATTTAGGAAGGACAGCCAAGGGAAGTGGATATGTCTAAAACTACAGAACTTTGCTTTCCCAGTTGAGAATTTTATATAAATGTAGTTGGGGTAGAAGACATTTTGCACAGAATGGCAGAAACTAGGATTTAATGTGGAAATAACTTCAATTTGGCTCACATGTGAATCCAGTGGCCTGAGTGATAGTCTATATAGACTTTCTAAAATTCAGATGCCAGTTTAGGTTTCTAGCACATACTATAAGAAAAATCAGTGAACATGCATGAAACTGATTATCCAGATCCCAAATGGCCACTCAGGGATCACCAATCCAGGCAGCTTTGGTATCAGAAACTTTGTCTTATTGTAGATACTCAGGTGTAAGCCTTAAGGACAAGTACTCTGGTGCAGTAATGTCTCCAAGTTTCCTTTCATTTGCTACAGCGACCCCAATGAATAAAGCCACTTTGATTTACTAGCAGATTTTAATTAGACTCTGGTTAATTTGAATTCCTTCACCTGAACTCAAAGTGTAATTATCTGACTTCTGTTCCGGCCCCTAGGGCCTCATGAGACCCATTTCAGAAATCTGTAATGCATGTAAGGTAGCACCTGGGGGATGTATGCTCTTGAGCAAAACTCAGAAGCCAGAGTGGGGCTCGTGGCCTGACTGCCAGGAGCCAAGTCAGGCCAGTTCACAACAGTCCCAATATGGCCAACACCAAATGAGATGCTGCATGGAGCTGTTTTGTGTGTACATAAACACACGTACATGTACCCCAAGACCTGCTCATTCCCATCAAAAGCTATACGGTAAATGTGTTTCATGTCAAATACATGTGCCCACATTGTTTTTCAAGGACATATTCCCTCACATTTTTTCTAATAATTAACTTCTGTTTTAACTCTTCAGTATGCTTTCATCTGAATAATAGCTTGACTATCCACATAAATCTGTCGTGTCTTTCTGTTTAAACCCTTCAATGGATTCTTTTGTTCTTAACATAAAAGCCCACATGTCCAAAGTAGCCCACACTTCTCCGTTTTCAACCTGTGCTATCTCGCTTGCTATTATTCCCCAGTTGACTAGATGGATATCAAGCCTTTGCCAACTGCTAAGAGTCCTCCCATGGGCTGTGTGCTCTCATGTCTTTCCCTCCATTTGGAATACTTTGGTCCCTTTTCTTTATCATGTCACTCTTGTAGCACTTAGGTCAGGCTTGACCTCTCCCAGAAGCCTTCCTATTGACATCTCCTCTGTAAGTTCCTTTGTTACAGCATTTGACAGAATGGAGGCTCGTGGCTGCATTATTCTCTGCCTCCCTTACAATAAACTCCTTGAAGGAGTGGACCCAGGCAAGTTCATGTCTGTTTACCAGCAGCTAGCATTCTGCCTGAAATATAGTAGGCACTCGGTAGATGGTTAAACTAATTGACAGTGGGACTTTTCCAGACACTCCCAAGATATCGCTTGGTTGGACAGTTCTTTATTCCCCATTTCATATGCAGTCACTCTATAATCTTGAGGAACATAATGAAAGGATATAGGTACCCCTCAGCCAACAATGTTGCACTCTGATAGCTTGTTTTATGTGCAGAGACATCCCAAAGACCTGAGAGAAGGCATCGTTTGTGCACAACCTGTACCTGAGGAGGAGTGCAGGAGTGCTCTGTTCATTTAAGATGTTTAAATGTATTAAGATGTTTCTGTTGAGCCTTATTTTCCCATGGTGACGTAGGTATTTTATTTTTCTCATAAAGATATGAACTTCTTCACACATTAAACTTCGATTCTGTCCGTCGCCGTATGAGTGTAATTGTAAAGAATCAAGAAGGTACGCATTTTTCTGTTTATAGATTCGTATGTTAACCAACTGTTTCAAGAAAGAAAAACATTTCATGTAGTAGTGTATGATTACCTAAATAGCTTTTTTTGTCTTTGCTTTCCTGTACTAAGCGCATAGCTTCAGGTTGCAAATGGTGGGTGACAGCACCCAGGGTAAGCCAGTATGCACATTTTGTTGGAAACTGAATTGTACTCATCAGTCTTAGATATCCAAATAGGAACTGAAAGGGTAACATCTTTATAAATCAGGGTACTGACCCAGTTATCAGTAATGTCTATATGCAGCAGCCCAGTATATGTAAGTGGTTTGAGATTACTAGCAGTAGAATCCTGGAGTGTAGAGAGTAGTTATTCTCCCCCACCCCCGACTTTCCTAATGCCTCTGCTGCTTTGTACTCCTGGGGTACAGAGGGGATGAAGATGACTAAGGCCAGACTGCTGGGAAATAGTATTTCAGTTTTACTCTGGCATTCTGAACTCTTCGCTTGCCAATGAAAGATAGCTTGCCCTGTTCAGGGGCACTGGTATCTTTATCCCATGGATCTCTCATGACCTTGGGTATAGCCACAGTGGATGGGATGCCTTCGCCCAGATTCAGCAAAACCCATGTGGAAGCATTTCTGCTGCATCTGTGGACCCATGGTGGGGGTGGTGCGGTCCAGATGGTTTGACAAACTATCTCTGGTTTCCCATAATTATCTTTTTAGTATTAAATCTGTTCCAGATTCCTTAATATGAGAATGGGATGGTTAGCAGAGACCCTTGTAGGAGTATGTCCTACTTAATTCTTACTTTGTGGTGTGATAACAGTGTCAAAATGATGTTGATTTCATATTGTGAGTGAAAGTTGTTTTATGATATTTAAACATACTTTTGTTGTGTGAGAAAATATGACAAAAACACTTAGATTTGAAATACTTGTTGTTCTTACCTGTGTCCAATCCTGCAAATGGTGAAGTGTCTGAGGGAAGAGATCTGCCTAGACCTTGTCCTCAGAACTAGACTTTTCTTTAACTTGTTGAACTCAACTTTTTTGCCTTGTAAGACATTAAATGTCTTTTAATGTTCAGTTGTGACTACTTTCCTGGGCACACTGACTGATACTAAAGCTGCACTGTACTCATATTCTTCAAGAGCTATCTTCAAGTTTTCAGTAGAAACTGTCAAGCCACTGTTTCAAAAGCTGACTTGTGTGGCTTATGCAAAGTGATTTTTATCTTGTTTGAGCTAGAGTTTGGACTTTAACGTCTATAGATGCCACATGAGCACTTTAGGCTGTAGTTGGTAACATTTGCAAAGATGATTCAGGTGCAGCTCCTTAACACAGGCAGTCTTCCATGGCTTATTAGAAAGAAGTATATTTGAACAGAGGTGCACGTTGCCAGCTCTGGTTTATTAGTTGTGTCCATGGTGCTTTTAAGAGGTGATGAATGTCCTGGCAGAGAATGGGTGAAGATGTTTCCATTCACATGGGTGAGATTGGCAAGGCTGAAGGCTCAGATACACATCAGCTAGGAGTGGCCACTCCCACTACCAGTCTTAAAATTCTAAGTTCAGTACTTTGACTTTTTCGTTTAGGAGACATACTTCTCTTTTGCAAAGGCGCAGACTCAGCAGTTTTCCCCAGGGTGCAAAATCATGAAATTGAGTTAACCAAAGCCCATGTGGAACGCAATGCAATGGTGAGCCTACACCCCTCCCCCCAGTAAGCAGAAAGAGGAATGCTGGAGACGGCCATTTCCTGGGACTGTTGTTTAGATTAATTTTATCTTATGTTTATAGTCTATTTTTGCATTTGGTAATATTATTTTCTTTGTGTTAATATAAAACCTGATGCAAGATTTTGTTCATAATTTACAGTTTAAAGACTTTTCTTCAAGTCCTGCCTTTTTTTTTTTTAACTCCCAAGAACTATTATTTCATTGTTCAGAACCTAATTGAATGCTACCTTGAGATGCAGTTTTTTTTGTTTTAATAAAACTATGTCAGGAATTCTCTTTTGTATATATGGGTAAAGCAAGAGTACTTAGGAAGCTGGTTTTCTTCAAATTGTGATGTGGATAACTAGAGATCCCCTACTTTGCTTCTAGGATGGATTTCGGACACTTTGTGTAGCCTTCAAACAAATTGCTCCGGATGATTATGAAAGAATTAACAGACAGCTCATAGAGGCAAAGATGGCCTTACAAGACAGAGAAGAAAAAATGGAAAAGGTTTTTGATGATATTGAGACAAACATGAATTTAATTGGCGCCACTGCAGTGGAAGACAAGTAACTAGAAAATGATACTCTTGTTATGTTAATGACCAATCATTAGAGTGGTATCTGTCTAGAGTTGTAATTTATTTTCAGGATTTAAAATCTTTGATCTAGCTTCACTGTCTGTTACCCCAGATTGTGAACTGTTTGTGGGAATGGTTTTTAAGTTAAATATTTGTGACTTAGAAGAATGAATCTGTCATCCCTAAGGTCTTTTGAATGTTTACTAGGTCATGCATATATTTATGAAATAGTCTATGTGTAGGGAGCTTTACTACAATATAGAGGCATCATGTGAGTTGGTATTTGGAAGAATGGCTAACATTTTGACAGAATGGTGAACAGATAGGAAATTCAAGATAGAGCAAACAACACAAGAGCATAATCTAACCTGGTATAACAGACTAGAGCATGTCTTGCATACTTTTAAATTTACTTTAACTAGACAGGCACAATCTGCCTGAAAGAATGTGTTTTAGATTTAATATTTTAGGAATTTTGTAGAAATTATAGATGCAAATTATGTCTTCACCAAACAAAAAGTTACACATTCAGCCACATTGGAAGGTATTTTGAAATTCTAATGGAATTCACTTGGTCTTAATTTCATGTTATTCTCTGGCCAAGAGGAACTCAAAGATTAAGTATCATTCTATCTTTTCCTTTCAGAGTTGTGCTCAGATTCTCTTTCAGGATACTAAGCTTTCTTTTTCTTAAAGTACCTACATGATGGAGATTTGCTAATTTCCCTCAATATCTGACCGTTTCAGTTTCAACCATGTTAAGTACCTGTATGGTGAGGTATAAAATATAATGAAATAGGCTAAAGTGATGGTGAATAAGAATATTGGGTGAGTCTCTGAACATTTTAACAAAGAGTAATGATTCTCAATCCTGCCACTGAGTGCCAGTTATTTCAAGAAATGTCATAAAGTTTCCAAACCTTGTTGTTTAAAATTCACTTTAGTAAGTAAAACTGTGCCAGAGGTAACACTGTCAGGAAGACTAAAGGCTTTATAAGAAAACGAACTGTGATAACTTGTCAGGACTCTAGAATTGGGAATTATAAAAATAAATTCTCTTTAACAATCCTTCTGATAGACCTCTGTGAGGACTTTTCAAGAATAGCAGTTTCTTTTGTGTTCCCAGACTACAAGATCAAGCAGCTGAGACCATCGAAGCTCTGCATGCTGCAGGTCTGAAAGTCTGGGTGCTCACTGGGGACAAGATGGAGACAGCCAAATCCACCTGCTATGCCTGCCGTCTTTTCCAAACCAGCACCGAACTCTTGGAACTCACCACAAAAACCATTGAAGAAAGTGAAAGGAAAGAAGATCGATTACATGAATTATTGATAGAATATCGTAAGAAGCTGCTGCATGAATTTCCTAAAAGTACTAGAAGCCTTAAAAAGTAAGAAAGTGCATCCGTTTCTTATGTTTACACATTGGTGTAGGTATAAATCACAGCTGCTTACTCAGAAAGCTCCACTTGCTATAATTTATCACTCTTTGCAGGTGTTAATATCCTTATAAGTTAAAACCTTCCCTGAGGACTTGGCTAGTGGCCCATCTGAGATTATTTGGCACGTTCTCCCTCTCATTCAGTTTAAAAGAAATCCCTGCACGTTTCCAGATTTAGAGAAGTAGTTCACTTTCAAAATGTTGAGGGGCTGGGTATTTAACATTGCTATTCTAGTCTGGTCAAATGTTAACAAGCTATTTCTTTTCACAGTTTCTGAAACTGAGTAAAAATAAATAACAGTTCCTGTAACAGTTTCCATGCATTTTGAGGTTCTAAAGCCATTTTCCATGGGGATTTTCATGCCCTTGAATCCCAAAGAGAACCAAGTACTTGTCAACATGACTGTCAACTTTTGTTTTCAAAAACTAGCTGCTTAAGAATAACTTGTGGAGCCCAAGGATCTCAAGGAAAGACAATGATCCACAATACTTCAATGTCCAGAGATGTTTGTCTATAGTTACCATTGGCCAAATCATAGCCATAGGCAAGCCAATTACTAGAATTTATCTTGGACAAAACAAATCAATATCCCTTTCTAGGGTCCTCCCTGGTGGCACAACGGGGTAAAGTGCTGCACTGCCAGTGAGCCGTAGCCACTGCAGTGCGAGTCCGATCCTCGGCCCCAGAAGTGATCCACATGGCACGGTAGATCTCCCCTGTCTACTTCGTCAGTCTGCCTGTTCTGCTCTCCACTCTGTCTGTGGTGAATCTTTTTACTGTCCCTGCACCTCGGGTCTACACCCCAGTTCTGTATGCATAAATAAATACATAAATACATAAATAAATAAATAAATCTTTAAAATATATAATTTTCTGGAGTGCCATCAAATGTGCTCACACTGAATCCAAAGGCCCCAGATAATACTGTTTTCCATTTTTTGTGCATTTATGATCCAAGGACATTGTTAAGTACTTTCTATAATTATTCTCATTTAATCTTTATGACAACCCAGGAATGCAATCCTATTTTCTTCACTTTACAGATAGAAAAATTAAGACTCAGAGAGATGAAGTGGTGCAACTAGCCAATTCTAGCACACATGCTCTTAACAACTTTGCTAAATTTCTCTCCTCATCTCTCGTGCTTAAACAAGTTTGAAAATGAATAGCCCGCACTCGTGAGGCTCTGACCAACTCCAAAACAGCTGCTGTTCTTCTGGTCCTTGGGTTTCAGTTAAACAGAAGATTTTTATTAATTGCTTATGATAAATGTTTCCTTTCTTTCACCAAACGGCACTTATAAAGGCACTCCCAAATTACACGCATTTCACTTGTCCATTTGTCTTAATCTGCTCAGGCCGCCATAACAAAATACCGCAGACTGAGGGACTTCAACAACAGAAATGTTTTTCTCACTTTTCTGGAGGCCAGAAGTCTGGGATCCAGGTGCCAGCATGCGTTCTGGTGGAGTCCTCTTCCTGGCTTGTAGGTGGCTGCCTTCTCGCTCAGTTCTCAGAGGAAGCTCTGGTATCTTTTCTGTTTAAGGAGGACAGTAATCACAACCATAAAGGCTCCACCCTCGTGTCCTCATCTCAACTTAATTCTCTCCTACAGGTTCCTACTCCAAACACATCACATTGAGGGCTGGGACTTAAATATACAACTTGGAGGGAATGCAGCTCATTCCATAGCAGCATTTAGCAGCTCTCGGGCACTTAGGTAAAATCCACAGATTATAGAAAAATCAGACCACTCTCCTCTTAGTTTATCTGTTTGAAGTTGAGTACAGTCTTGGCCTGAGTTACAGACTTAAGGCCCAGAATCACCTTTGCCAACTTTTGCTCTTTTGTCCCTTCCACTTCAAACTGGCTTCCCAGTCTAATCCAGATTTCTGTGCCCGCATCAGATTCCTAGCACCCAGCCTCAAGTCCCTTAGGCCCCTCTGCCAAACCCACTGGTCCTGAAGTATAAAGTGCTGCCCATGTCCCAGCCCTGCTCAAACTTTCTGTGGTTCTCCATTCCCGACAGAATCAGGTTGCACCATTTAACCTTTTGATCTTGCTTTTGCTAGTGTACACAATCCCCGCACCTCTTTCTGACCTGTGCTTCAAGTGCCATTTCAGATACGACCGTCCAAATAACCCTCCGCTAACATTTTCTCCATGCATGTATTGTCCCGGTCACTGGGCACTAGCCATTTAGTGTCTGCTTTGATTTGGCATATTCTCTCAATAATGTTTTTGTCACTAGTCTCCAAGGAAAGATTAGTTAGCAATTATTTCCATTCTATCGGCTACTTATAGTTGATTTTTACAAATACTGCCTGGTTGATTGAGCCATGCTTTTCTACACATTAAGTCAACTCTGAGTAGGGGAGGAAAAAGGTAAACACATGTTTGTTAGATCTCTAATTACTGACTAAATTGTGCTCAAAATTATGAGACAAAATATGGGTAAGTACAAAATACTATGGTGCTAGCAGTATACACTAAAGAAATACAGAATAATACAGGAATGAGGTACATTGGACTCTTGGTATTTGAAATTTGCTCCTTAGACAGCAGGAATGTTATCACTAGAAACGTATTAGAAATGCAGAACTTCATGTCCAACCCCAAAGCTAATGAACTAGAATCTGTTCTTTAGCAAGATCCCCAGAAATGTTAACAAGATTCCTTTAAGCATTAAATGTTGAGGCGAATGAAATTAGACAAATGTATTGATGAGATCCAGCTGTGTCTAATACTTCCACTACTGGTAGTTTTCAAATGACACCCAAGGTTTCCTCAGCAAAAAAATCAAATAGTTAACTGTTTGTTTGTTTTTTTCATTAAGTGCAAAGAAAAAAAAAATGTTTATGAGTAGAATTTTCTCAATTGTTTTTCCCTGTGCATTCTCCTTCAGTACTTACCACCTGTTATACTTGTCTTCCCGAGCACCTAATACCTCTTGGTCTTGATAATGACTGAAAACCACCCCCAGAGCCTTTAACTCTATCTTCCCTAGCTATATACCTATCTACAACCAAGCCCTCCCCCAAATTACTGTCAGGGGATAGGCTTTAGACATGGGCCTAAAGTTTTAAAGTTGCCCAGGTGATTCTAACGGTAAGTCTAAGGTTGAGAAGCACTAACCTGTTATAAAAATGATACTTTTATAATGAACATATCAGGATTAGAAGGTTTCCTTTTATGAACTCCATGCCTTTTAGGTACTGCATCATATTTGGGAAGTCAGGTATATTGATGGGTTTTGTCAGTTGCGCAGAGATGTTAGAGAAGGCTCTTCTGTGATTTGTGTGCTCTAAAACCATTTTGTCTTTTCCTTATATTAAGAAGTTTTCAGACGATTTATCTTCACATGAGAGTTTGAGCTGTAACTTCCAAATTTATGTTGATTTTTCTTATACAGAAACCAGTTGTAATTGTTCGAACTTACTGCCATCTATCTGTATGGGCAGCTTGAGTTGGCAACGATGTGATAGAAAGTCTCTGTTACGTCATTGAGAAAGTTACTTCTTTTATATTATAGGTTTAAGAATTAGTTTGATGATGACTGTCCTCTATGGTTTAAAAAATCAGGTTCCTAAATAGAAATGTGTAAAAGATTCAAATACAACATTTTTCTTTTTCAGAGCATGGACAGAACACCAGGAATACGGATTAATCATTGATGGCTCCACATTGTCACTCATATTAAATTCTAGTCAAGACTCCAGTTCCAACAATTACAAAAGCATTTTTCTACAGATTTGTATGAAGTGTACTGCAGTGCTCTGCTGTCGGATGGCACCACTACAGAAAGCCCAGGTAACTTGACATTAGTTAATATTCCATTCCAGGTATTTCTATACACATATGCAGATGGTCATTTCAGTTTTCATTTGTTTATTCTTCAGAGAGCCATTATTACCTTGTTACATCTTCTCTGGTTGCTGTTGCTTTATATGGAAAAACACAAGTTGAATTAAATCTTTACCAAGGGAGATGCCATGATCATAAATTAAGCCTTATTCCCTCAAGCTTGCTGTCCAGTTGCTTGCCTTCTCATCTTCTGCAATGAGTGGTGTTGCCTGCTACCTCCATTCCTGACTGCTCCTGACTCTCCTGTTACATGTGCCCCCAACATTCTTCTCATCACACCCTTTAGTACTGGCTAGGGGAAGCAGTGACCTCCCTGCTGAATCGCTCAGGCTGTCTTCCATTCTCCTCATTTCTATTGCAGTTGACACTATCAATTATATCCTCTTTTAAGTTCTCCTTCCTTGGTTTCTGTGATGGTGCATGGTCCTTGGAAACCTAGTACCTTATTGTTTTGTTTCATTCGCTATCTCTTCCCTAATTATCAGTTTGCTTTGGGGCTAAGTTTTTCCTCTGCTTTTCACTTACAGACTCTTTCTCTGGGTAACTGCAGCCCTTTCTGTGACTCCAGATGATACAGATCTGGTCCTGACTTTTCTTTGATGTTGAGTCTCTTATTTTTAGCTACATGCTAGATAGCACCGCATGACTTCCCCACTGTCAAAATAAAGTCTAGTGTCCAAGACAGATCTTACAGTTTTTCTCTCAGGTCAGTTTGTTTTATCCCTTCTCTTTATGATTTCTGTTACCGGTACCATTTTTATTCCATTCCCTATGTCTCCAAAGTAACTTTGACCCCCTCTTTTCTCCCTCATTCCACATATAGTCACCAGAGTCACCAGGTCCTGGTGATTCTCTACCTTTTGTTCTAGCTCCCATTTTTTGCCATACTTTTCAACCTTTTACCTCCAGCTTAGTCCAACCCTATGACTTTAAACACTGTCTGTTTGATTGAGCCTCCTCACTAGTCTCGTTGCTTTCACCCTTTTCCCTTCACTGTCTTTCCCCATACTCCCAAGTTAATCTTGTTAATACACTAGTTTTCCTATCATATATACTTGTTTAGACACTTTAAGTAGTCTCTGACATCCTTAGGATGAAGGGCAGATGACGCAACAAGCCGCTTGGGGCTCACCCTTGTTGGTCCTTAATGTATCTTCCACGTACTTTGTGCCCATCATCACTCCCATACCATGCTTTCCACTCCCGTCGGTTGCTCCCTCTTTGTGTCCCTTCTACATTGCCATACTCAGGTCAACTTCCAAGCGTTCCTCATATAGTTTCCTCATCTGCAATCACTGAATTCCCCCTCACCTAACAAGAGTTTTATTCATAATAAAACCCAACTCCAGGGACACCTCCTATACCCTGTCTTTTCCTAGTCCTCTGGCCTACTGCTTCACCTTGATTGTTCCCATTGGGTGTGATGAACCTTAGAGTCTCACTTACACACTGCTTTGTCACTTGTCTATGTTCTGTATTCTTTCATGTCATTGTCTTGTTACTCATAGTCTTCAGCTGCTTGTTTGAGACCAAGGAAATAGCTGTGTCTTTGACTTCTCTTTTGCACACACCCATCTGCCACTACACACATGCATGCACACAGATCAGCATCGCCTGTGCTGATTTAGGACATTGCCTCCTTGCTGTCAGACCTCACTATAAGCAGGTGCACATCTTTTTTTCAATCTTCAAATATTTGGTTAGCCCCACATAATGAAGTATATCCATAAAAATCTGTCACCTTAGTCAGAGGCAATATCTCCCTTCCCTTTCCCCTACTCCTCACATTCATCACCCGTTGCTCAAATTGCTCCCCTAGGTTCTAACGACTCCACAGCCTAGCAGGTATCTGAGTTCCTGACTCCACTGTGCTAATGCCACTGGAATATGAAGTGCCCATCCTCCCACAGCAAGGTTCAGTCCTGGTTTTATTTCTTACTATAAGTCAGACTTCTTCCAGAATATCCTACTCACCTATCATATGCCTGTATAGGTGATGTTTAAGTCACTTCTCCAATTCAAATCTTTTGGATTCTATTTTACTCCTTTGAATGCCATTATCATCCCAACTTATTATCCTTCTGAGAAGCCCAACTAGCAGGTTCTTAGATTCAAACCTTTGAAGTCTGTTGACTTCTCCCATCTTTATTTTTTTTAAGATTTATTTATGCTTACAGAACTGGCGTACACGCCAGAGGTATGGTGGGTGAGAGAATTCACCAGAGACGGAGTGGGGGGCGGAACAGGTAGATGTTCTGAAATACACTGCTTAGGGGAGCAGCGGGCGGGTCAGGAGAGGTCTGCCACGCCACGTGGGTCAGCTCACTGGCTGGAGATTGAACTCTTGCTGTAGTGCCTTCGGAGAGCTTCATAATGCAGTGCTTTAACCCGTTGAGCCACCAGGGAGAGCCCGACTTCTCCCATCTTTCACCCTTCCACATGGACTCAGTTACCACATTGTCTGTTTTCTAGTACCTTATCTTTTCTCCTTACTGTTTTTCTTTCATCTCTTTTCACTGAGAACTGACCACCTGACTTCATTCCTTATCTTGCTTTTTCTTTCAGTTCCTCCTGTATCCTTCTTCCATTTTCATGAGTTTCTGTTAATTTTCTGAGCATGTACTTATCTGGTATGTGCCTTAGAATATGCTGTCATTTCCTTTTTCTAGAATACTCGTCCAACCTTTTTCCCTAACCGTGCAAATCTTACTAGTCTTTCATGATTTAGATCAATTCACTCATCTATAAAATCATTCCTGATTGCTTTTAGATGACAGTGGTACATATTCTCTTGCACAGGTACTGCATATTTTTTCCTGTTAATCTAATTATCTAATACTCTTGTATTCATCTGTGATCTCTACTATCATGTTATCTGCTCCTTAAGGTGTGTTACCAACTCTTTTATACACACACACACATATATAGTTACATATATATATTTGTTGTTCTGAATTTTTTCACATTGTATTGTATTGCCTGCAGTTACATTGATCAATAAATAGTTATTGATGAATTAATTTCTTTTCATGATGTTACCCTATCAGTTGAAGAGATGGTTTTAATCCAGGTGACTTGGGGCTCAGTAAAAAAAAACTCCATGTAAATCTTTCATGGTTTCATATTCTATGGCCATATATCCTTTCCAGAGGACGAGTTTTAGTCTTTTTAAGTTATATTTTCATGCAGAAACTGTCACTTTATTGCCTCCCTCAGGCTCCCTGGCTGAATTTTTACTTCCATTGCTGCACATGGTAGCAAAGGAGCAGTTAGATGAATGGGATCGTGGTCCATAAAACAATCTGGTGTGGGTTCTTTAATTTTGTCATTGACTCTTCCACTTAGATTATTTCTGACAGTTTTACAAAGTTTTCAAACAGTACCAAGTTGAGCAGAGGGTGGGATAAAGCTGTCGTTTCATGGCAACATTTTTCTGTTCAATGGAGTTGCATGTGGAAGTTTTCATATGCTATTTAATCCAACTAAATCTGATTGACTTGTTCAAAGAAAAGATTGCAATGTGGCTTCAGTTCATAAATATTATTTTAATGACTTCAGTTATGTTGAAAATAGATTTTATTTGTGTTAAATGATAAGAGCAGTTGTAAGGACAGAATTTTTATGAGGCACTATTTGGCTATACAGCTTTGTTTAATTTGTTTTAAGCTGCTAGATTCCAAGGAGTTGAGGGTTGATACATGAAGCAGTCATTATCTAAAACATACGATGGGAGGACAACTGTTCACCCAGCACACTTCCTGCCTGTAACCACCAGGAGGTGGCTTCTTTACTCAGTACCTAGCAGAATCACAACATGACATGGACTATTCCAATGACACATCTTGAAGAGACACCCAAGAAATAGTAACAAGCACATACATTGGGCCTCTTTCTATAACTCTTACTACCTTTAAGATGCCGTACCCTTTTGAAATAGAGCCACCTGTAGGAAAGGTAAATCATATTGGGCAGTAAGAGATTGAGTAAAGTTGAATTGGCGGCTGGATGGGTGAAACATCTGACATTAGATAAATCCTTGGGAATAAGAGTTGGGGGTGGGGTTTTTCCGGAGTACATTTGGGAATGACAGCAGAGAGGAAGGATCATGGAGAGAATTTTTCTCTCACTTCCCACTTTTGTTCTGGTAATCCTATACATGTTACTTTAGATCAGCTTTCTTGTCTTTACTGTCACATATTCAAAACCTGGCCTGAAAGGACACATGAAATAACATCAATAGAGGGAAAGTGTCTACCTCTAATAAAGCCTAGTGTTGAGTAGCTGTGTACTGCTACAGAGAACTCAAGGCTGTTTTCCGTTATGTGCATAAGCTACCTTTGTGTTTGCAAAGGCCCTGTTTAAAGTGTGAATGAGGCATGAACCCAAAAGAGGGTAATCTCACATTCTGCTTTGACCTTTTCTGTACCTCTTTTGTATTTAATGTTTAGATTGTCAGGATGGTGAAGAATTTGAAAGGCAGCCCAATAACACTGTCGATAGGTGATGGTGCCAATGATGTTAGTATGATCTTGGAGTCCCATGTGGGAATAGGTAAGAAACACCTAATGAGATGGCAGCTGTAAGCTATCAGTGTTGCTTTTTGGTGGAACGCTCTTACATTCTAGAGAGATTATTTTGGTGTTCATCTTGAATTTGAATTTGGGAATAATTGTTAATCAAATGAAGGACCTTATCTAATCATGGAACATGTTCATCCCAGAATCCTACCTCTGGCAAGAATATAGCAATACCAAGAGGATATTTTTATATTAGCCAAGCAAAGATAATGTCCCAAACCTATTAGCAGCACAGTTGATCATTTATCTCTCACTTCGACAGCATGCATGAAACTATTTATTTTTCCTCCCCTGGTCTGATTGCCTGCTTATGTTGCTGCAGTATATCTTCTCAGATTCTTAGCTGTTGGGGACTAAGAAATGATAATTGGCTGGCTGCTTTTCCACATGACATTATCTATGGTTTGGGCTGTAGTGTTGAATTTATATGTTGATATGCTTCATCAGCTTTTCAATGATCTGCACCATTTTTTTTGTCAGACTGCTGTTAAGCAGCAAACCTAACACCCACCAACCTTTTTGGAGGGGAAGGTGAGAATTTTTTTTCTCTAGATAATTTTTCCTTGTAATGGTTCAAGTAATGATACAATTTAACTATCTTACAGTGTGTCATAATTCTACTTAATTATGTTATAAATAGGTAATTAAAAACCTATTAAAAACACTTTTTTGGTTAAAAAACAAAGCTTAACTATACAACTGAAATAAACATTGAAGCAAGTTAAAAAATCTGAAATTAACAAATCTGGGGTTGCTTATTCATTTGAATATTCACCCTGCAGAAATTTTCTTCTTTTAGGTATTAAAGGCAAAGAAGGTCGCCAAGCAGCTAGGAATAGTGATTATTCTGTTCCAAAGTTTAAGCATTTGAAGAAACTGCTTTTGGCTCATGGACATCTCTATTATGTGAGAATAGCACACCTTGTCCAGTATTTCTTCTATAAGGTATGTGATAAGATATTTGTAATTTCACTAATAACCATTTAAATCCATTGTTGGCTCACTTTGGTTGTAGTTTTTTCCCCCTTGTTTCTTTTGTTGATTTAGGACATTTGTATAATAAATAAAAAATCAGAAAAAATTATATTTTAGTTGATTTTTAAGGTTTAAAGACTTTTAGAGTGGGGAGATAAGATTGGCATTGTTTGTTTTGTTTTCCTTTTTTAATTAGAATAGCATTACATGAGGCTCTCCCTAATGGCACAGTGAGTTAAAGCACCACATTATGAGGCTCTCCGAAGCCACTGCAGCAGGAGTTCAATCTCCGGCCAGGGAGTTGACCCACATGGCATGACAGACCTCTCCCTCCCTGCCTGCTGCTCCCCTTAGCAGTGTATTTCAGTAGATCTGCCTGTTCCTGCTCCCCGCTCTGTCACTGGTGAATCCTCTCACCCACCACAACTCTGGCCTGTACCCCATTTCTGTAAGCATAAATAAATAAATCTTTAAAAAAAAAAGAATAGCACTACATTATAAGTTTTAGTTATACATCATTAAAAGTCAGCATGCTAAATTCACCACTAAAATCCAATGCATATATATGTCTTTTCAAATTAATATTTTCATGTTCTTTGGATAAATATCCAGAAGTAGGATTACTAGCTCATATTGTTTTTCTTTTTCTTTTTTTTTTTTTTTTTGAGGAACTACCACAGTTTTCCAGAGTGGCTGCACCAATTTATAGTCCCACCAGTCGTGCATAGCATTCTTTATCCTCTATATCCTGTCCACCAGTTATTATTTCTTGATCTTTCAATAACATGTGACCATTTTGCATGATTCAAGCTTGAATTTTATACCCTGTATTTCACTGGCTGACAAGCTCATCAACTGCTTTGTGTGTCCATTTTCTGTCATTAACCTCGGGTCATATTAGCTTTATATTTTCTGAAAAATATATAACCATGAAGCCAGGTTTATAGATTCGCTGAGGCACTGCCAGCCAGTTACCATCTGGCATCCAGACAAAATACATGTGAGTATAATGATGGTAATTAACCCAATATGTTATTTAGAACCCAATAATATTCAGAAAATCACTGTATTTTCTTTTGTAATTGTCACCAATTACAAATCAGTATTTTTCCCTACTTAAAATATGTAGAAAGTAGGACTCAGAGATTATATAGCCTGATATTGGCTCCCCAACGGCCAGTTGCTAGAATGCACAACAGGTTTATCTACTCCTAAGTCCAGGACTGTACATCTTAGAATTTTCCAGCCTTTATTTATTTTTTAGGAGAACTGGGGTACAGAGGTGAGAGAATTCACCAGAGACAGAGTGGGGAGCAGAACAGGCAAATCTACTGAAGCACACTGCTGAGGGGAGCAGCTGGCTAGACTGGGGAGGTAGCTCCCTGGCCGGGGATCGAACTCAGTTCTTAGCAGTGATAGCACTGAGACTTAACCTCTGGGCCACAGGGAGGCCCCCTGTTTATTGATCCCTACACTCAGTAACTTAACAGTCTCCAGTAAGGATGTATGGTTATTCGCTTACACCCCTCCCCCCTATTAGCAGAACCTATGAAGATCTGCCATACAGATCTGCCTCCCCATCTGAATCTATTCTGGGGACTCTATTTGGCCTCTTTCAATTTTGGCCTGCAATTCAAGCAACGGCCACTAGATGGAAGGAATGTTCTGTTAAGGGGATAAAACAAACACTAAAATGGCTACTGTTTACCAGGGGTCAGTAATTGACATATGTCTGTTCCCAGTTTAGGGATTTATGTAAATGATGCCCTATGTCTTCACTCGATCACTGTGCCCATTATCACCTTAGTGATTCAGCAGTATTCTTATTCTTGTCTGCCTTTTGTCCCTTGGTGATTTCTAATACCTTCACCCTCTTTGGCAGAATTAAAAAGCTTTTGTTCCTCTTAGCTTGCCATTGCATCTTCAGGTTAGTATTGCCCCACCCCTGGAGTCCTTCTGTGACGGTCTTCCTGCTTCTGTTTCTCCATTCAGTTGTCCTTGTGTAATGCTACTTTGAGCTTGCTCCCCAGTAACTCTCCAAGGCCTAAGGTTTAATCTGACTTTCAGGCACCCCATGCCTTACCTAACATGTTTAGAATGCATACTTACTGTCTTGCCTTAGTTCCTGCTATCATATTTAATTCATCTTTAACACCTAGTTCAAATTCTGACTTAGGTATTCATTCAGTCAACAAATATGTTTGGGTGGGTACTGTGTGCCAAACATTGCTTTAGGTCCTAAGCATTCATCATGGACTAAAATAGGCAAAAAAAAAAAAAAAAAATCACTGTTCTTATGGAACTTTAATTCTAGCAAGAACATCATACCTGTCCTTCACATTGGAGCCCTCCCGTTGGATGCTCCCCATCGAGTGTTGCCTCCTCCAGTCCCAGAGTTTTTGTTTTTTCAATAAAGTGTAACTTTAAGATGCTACTGATAGTGTTTTTGTATTGTATCAGAACATATAAATGATGTTTCCCTTCCAGGTGATGACCTTGGGAGCTGTGCCCTTACCTTGATGTTATTGGGGTTATTCAAAACAAGTGTAGCATTTCTCTTAAGCCCTGCACTCCAGATCCTATAAGATAATGCACTGAAATATCTTCAGCTATATATGACATTCATCCTTTGAGGATACATTGGATTTTTAAGAACAGCACTAAGTTTCATAGCCTGGTAAAAATTACAATGTGTGACAGAAGGAAGACTAGTTTCTGACATGGATCAAAAATGCACTCTTGAAGCGAGATCCAGAGCCATTGATATTTCAAATAAAAACAGACATTAACTCTTTTCTTCATTTTTTTCCCCCTAGAACCTTTGTTTCATTTTACCACAGTTTTTGTACCAGTTCTTCTGTGGATTCTCTCAACAGGTTTGTCTCCCTAGTTATTTGTTATAATGTAGCTTACATTTACTATTAATAAGTGACTTTTCTATTTCTTGACTTACAGAGCCTAGAGAGGCAAATCCAAAGTAAAAGGAATATTTGGGGGGGGGGCATGGGTAAAGGGGGTTTCAACAGTTGATTTTCTTGGCCTGGTTTTTGACAATGATAGATGTTTCTGTCTTTGCTTTAGCAATGTTGTTACTTTCTTTTTGAAAGATATTTGGTACATCCTGTTAGACTTGAGATATCTTTAAAAAGAATATTTTGATGTTTTACTTTTATTAGTGTATACAATGTTTTCCAATAATCCTCAAACAATATAGTTTAATATCATCAGATATTAACATCTATTCCATTTCTCAGGTTGATTTTACAGGAAAATGTAGGCCAAGTAACTGTAACTGCTAGATAAAACCTTTGATGGCATGTACAGCTCCGAGTTCTATGTCTTGTATTACTTTGCGAATATTGATTATGTTAAAAGGTGTTACACGTTAGCTTTATACATAAATGGTAGGGTGGGCAGTGCATCTGTAGGTTTCTTGTAACAATTGAAATGGATTTTTGCCTTGCTTCTAGCGAAAATATAACTAAGTGCAGGAACTATAATGCTCAGTGACTCTGCAATTTGCTAATCCATGAACAATTCAGTGAATGTGCCAACCTGAGCTACTGATAACATTGTCACACATATTAGAGACTGCTTTTCTGAATTTCAAGGCACATTCATTCCTCATGGTAGAGGTTTCTTTTGTTTGTGTTCAAATTTTATGGCAGTATTTTTTAAGACAATGTATTCTCAATGGAAAATGACTGCTCTCTTTCTCTTGAACTTGCCTCTTGGCCATTTGTTATGCCATCTCTGACATTGGTGCCATGTCACCAGCCCCATGGTGCTAGTTAAGCAGATTGCTTTATGAATTAATCATCTACCAGCTGTAGGAATTGCCATCAGCCTTCCTGTATTGAATGCTAACGAGATTAGTTACAGAGTTTTATAAATTTTGATGAATCTGCTTTTCTGGAACATTCAGATTACTATTAATCAAAATGTTTCTAATTTCTCACTTCCTTTGATAAATGCAAGCATTAAAAAAATTTTATGTTTTCTCAAATCATTATAGCAGATTGCTGAAGAGAGTTGGCTAAAACATTGTTTTTCTTTTGAAAGAAGCCTGTTGCACTGCTATCCTTTTTAAACATGTTTACCAAGTTGTCTAAGGAGAGAAAGAAAGGACTTACTCTTTATGAAGCCAACTGAGATTTAGACTACAAGCTGCCTGGGGTATGGTTAGGTTACCTTAACTGTTCGGGTGTCTGTAGGAGTTGATGTTTGCTTTTGTCAGTTGCTCAACTGGTAGGTTCACTTATTTAATAGTAATTTCTTAATTGCCTACTCTGTGCCAGACAAAGTGCTAGGATATCATATCAGTGGTCCAAACTAACTCTAACCCCCATGGGGCTTGCAATACAGAGATAGGAGGAGAGGCAGACAGTAGTCACACAATATATTATGTCAGATACTGATAAATGTTCTACAGAAAAACAGTAAAGCATAATAAATGGCTAGACTGTGACTGGAGAAGAGAACTGCTATTTTAGAGAAGATGACCTAGAAAGTTCTCTCTGATGAGGTGACATTTGGGCAGAGATCTGAAGATGAGGGAAGTTGCTAGATAGACATCTTAAAGAGAAGTGTACTAGGTAAGGGGAAGGTCTTCCTGAGGTGGTGATGTGATGTGCAGTGTGTTTATTTTTTACTTTAGCCTTGTGCTAATGCTGAATATAGCATTAACTGAATACCTTTGAAGTATTTAAAGGGCAGTCAACCTTTTTCAGCTCAGATCCACATCACGTATTCTCTGCAACTCTGGAACTTGGAGAGCAAGCTATGAAGAATGTAAATAAGGGACCAATAAAAAACTACTCTAGCAAAACTAGGATAGTACTGACCTTTTTTTTTCCCCATGAAAATATTTGTAACATGCTTAACAAGAAACTATTATCTGCTAAACCTGTTTGTTTTGAGGGCATTCTTTCTCCTGTAATTATGCATCTAAGAATTATAGTTATCACTCATGCAACTCAGAGTACCACCGTTGAACAAAAGTAGATTGATGCTGCTTTTGTTTGAATGAAATTTAAGACTAAATTATACACTAGTCAATTGAGTTATTTTTTAATTTACTTATTTGTGAAAATGGGTAATTTCCAATGAATATGTAGTGCTGTGTGCCAACAGACTGGTCTAATCTCCTAAGAATTAAAAGGAATATAATATCTTTTGGGAGCCATCTTTAATTCAGTAGAGTATTTTTGCTCAGTCTAAATATTTGTGGAAAGTACCTCCATGTTCTGTGTAGAGATTGGGATTATCACATCATCTCTTGCTTTGTCTCCACCACAGGCCAGGACTGTGGTCCCTTCTTCTGGGCTCCCCCATGCCTACTTAAGTCATTACCACTCCCTCACCTAGAATTTGAGTTCCTTGATAGATTGATAAATTTTATTTGACCCCAGTATTTGTCACTTAATAAACACAAAATACATATTTTTAAATCAACTAATGAATGACTTACTGGTTTATACAAGTTGTTCCCAACTTTTTTGAGTCAGTCTCCATTATGCTAGTAACTGTACATTTGTTAGGCTTTGTTTGAAAATGCATGGTATTAATCAATAAATAACGTGATAAATACATGTGAAAATGGGGTAGTATTTATTCACGTCACAGGTAAGAGCTGTATGATGATATCTAGCACTATATAGAAAAATACTGAACTCAGTAAGTACTTTAATCAAAGTGAGATTCATAGAATACCTTAATTTTTTAGTAAAGTTTATAGTATCAGATTAGTGCTTTACAAATGTGTTATGGCTTCCAATATCTCCTCATTCCTTCACTCAGTATTTATTGAATGTTATCTGTTATGTCAAGTTCTGTGGTAGATATCAAGATTGTTAAAGCCCTCCAGGCCAAAGGCCAACAGGAACTTACTTGTAGTTGATTAAATTAGCAAGAAACAATGTACACTTGAGGAACCGTAAGTTCTCTCAGAAAGAGGGTATTTTAAAAATCTGATTATAGAGCTTGTGCTTGAGTTAGGTGATTTGGGGAAAAGCTGAAAAGGTGGGAATTTGCTGTAGAAAGGAGTGAAAGGGGTGTAGCTATATAAATATGCACTTTCGTGACTCTTCTGCAGGAGGAGTGAGACCTAGGAGGCTAACGCTGCTACTGACAGAGAAGTGTGGCCCTTGGGTATCAGCCAGAGTCGGGGGTTGGTCGCCTCTGCGATTGAGACATTATTCGTGTTGTGTTCAGGCAGGATATGGAGTGACCTTGTTTTTGTCTTGATCCATCATGGTCACAGAGTGGCTTTGTTCAGTGTTACTATTCTGTGCAATGGCACATGTTTGACAAGCGAACACCAGTGCCTGGCTGAGGGTGCCAGGCGAATTACTGCTGCATGTCATGGGCTGCTTTGCTCTTTCTCAAGCTATAGATGTCAATAGACTATGTAAAAAATTCCTGCCTTCACACAGTTTAAATTCTAGTGTGAAGAGACAGATGATAAATATAATAAATTCATACTTTAAGTTAGAAGGCAGTTAGTACCAGAACAAAAGAAAAAAGAAACTGAATAAGGAGAAGACAGGTCTATTAAGAGGGAGTGGAATGTTAAATAAAGGTGGTTCTCACTGAGAAGATAACATTTAAACTGAGATTTGAAGGAAGCAAGGACGTAAACAAGCACTGAGGAACAGTGTTCTAAGCAGGGGTAACACCAGGCAGGGGCAAAGGATGTCTTGAGTTAGGAGCGAGTCTGGGCATTGGAGGGATTGTGAGGAAGCCATTGGTGCTCTCGTGAAAGGAGCAACGAGCAAGGAGATTAGAGATAAGGACAGACAGGTAGGAGCTAGAGTGAGTGGGGCTTTATAGCCACCCCTTTTCTAAGAACTTTGCTTGCTCTCAGACAAAAGAATCCATTGGAAACCATGACTTGATCTGATTTATTTTTTAACTGAATTGCATGGGTCATTGCACTGTATAGACTGTAGGTCAAGCAGAGAAGTAGGGAGACCATTTAGGGGGCTTTGCAGGGTGGTAACAGTGAATTGATCTGGGGTTAATATGAAGGCAGAACAGTAGATATCTCCTAATCAGCTGCATAAGAGGTGTAAAGAAGAGTCATGGTAAACCCAAGACTTTGGTTCTGATTGGTCAGACAGATTTGGTTGTCACAAAAAGAGCAGGTGCGAGATGAAGGCCAATTAGAAGGTTGGTTTTGGACGTATGAAGTTTGAGATAGGCTAGACACCCAAAATGAGATGTCATGTGGGCATTTGGGTATATGGGCTTGCGTTCAGGGGAACAATCTGAGCCAGAGGTAGATATCTGGGGATTTTCCACAAATGGGTGGTGCTATTAAACCCACAGGACTGAACGAAACTGTGAGTATAGATACACTACAAAGACCAAGTATTAGAAAACTCGAGAAGACTGGAAGCATGGCTAATAAGGAAGGAGGAGAATCCCTTTTTTCAAAATATTTCTTGAGTACATAAATGGTGCCAGGTTCCAGGATAGATACTGGGGTTATAAACATTAATTGCAGGGTCAGTTGCCAAGACAAGTGACATGGGAGAAAGCAAGTGGAAAGGGAAACTTGACGAGGTTAGGTTGATACTTAAGTTGCAGGTGCCTACGGAATAGCCAACAAAATGTTGAAAATTTTGATCTGGAGTCTGTGGGATTCAGGACCAGAAGGAGTTGGAAGTCACACCCATGTACAATATTGAGCTTTGTTTCTGTGAATACATTTATTTAATTACATAAATATGTCATGGAGATAGTAATAATGATATTTTAAACTATGAAAATATTAAGCAAAAGAAATGTTGGCACAGTCTGACTCCTTCCTATATTGAATTTCTCCCAGGGCTTCCTTAGTTGGACTTTGTTCACTAATCTTTGAAATATTATAGTTAATATCTGTTAGAAATAGAGCTTATAGCTTTTAAGCCTTTTGAATGAGATCCTTTTAAAGGAAGGGCATATTAATGTGATGCATCACATGTGTTAATTTTTTTATAATTACCAGTAGGAATGATTGTATTTACAAGAATTATTCTGCTGGCACCGAAAAAAAGGTGAAAGGAAACTGTCTTGTTTTCGCTTGTGAATTTTCCAGACGTGTGAATGTCCTGCTTGATGGTCGTTAGGGTGTGTTTATCTTCTGCTGGTTGTCATTTCAGCCATTGTATGATGCCGCTTACCTTACAATGTACAATATCTGCTTCACATCCTTACCCATCCTGGCCTACAGTCTACTGGAACAGCACATCAACATTGACACTCTGACCTCAGATCCCAGATTATATATGTAAGTTATATTCATTTCATACAGTTAGAACTTTCCAGTCTTTCAAAGCTGTGTATTTCATTTGGAGGTGGGTAAAGAGAAGAAATATCTGCCTGGCTTGATTATGTGTTTATGCTCTGAATTTTTAGCTACTGAAACTAGATCTTTCAAGAAGAAAACATCTTCCACAAGGGTGGGTTCTGTACTTGTATGTGTGTGAATCATTTAGTTCAAACTCACTAGTTCCCAAAAACATGGAACTGCATTATCATAGAATTCTGGAATCTTAGAAAAAGGACACAGAATTTTATCTACCAAAAAAATAAAAAGACACAAACAAAAAGTTCTGGTAGTTTAGAATATTGTTTCCTGCCCACCTTAGTGGAGTAACATGTTTTCTTGTACCCCTTCTGTTGAAAACTCCCCTTAAGTATAGCCTACTGCCTTAGTAAAATTAGAGTAAATATAAAATCACTAAAGTTTTAGCACTTGAAGGAAATAATTAACTCATTGACCATTTATATCATTTTGTGTCTGTTGGAAGTGGATGCTTTTCCTATTGATCAGAGACTGGGCACCAAACCAGTTGCTTGACCTGTGATGTAATTGATTTTCATAAAGTAAGCCTACAGCTAAGGATAAAGAATGTTAATTTACAGCAGATGATAAGCATTGCAAAACAGTTGATGACAACTGTAGTAGATTCAGATGTTTTGTTGTGCGAGTAAAGAGGCACAGGTCTAAGGAGTTTCTTTAAGCATTGTGACTCATAAAACTCATACTTTGCCAGTTGTTCGACTTAATTAGATTTACAAAATTTAGCATCATTCTAAAGGTATTATGGAAAAATTTTAACACATAAAGAAAATACTACTATAGTGAACTTCCCTGTCCTCACTGCTCAGCTTCCACGACAGTAAATTCAGGACCTATCCTGCTTAATTAATAAAACCATCTTCCCTCTCATAGACTAATTTTGAAACAAATAACATGCACATAAAATAGTTACTTCCATGCATGTATACCTCTTAAAGGTCTTTTTTTTTTTTTTTATGGATACAAGAATTGAGCTATAGGCCAGAGGTGTAGGGGTGAGAGGATCCATCAGAGACAGAGTGGGGAGCAGAGCAGGCAGATTGACTGAAATACACTGCTCAATACACTGAGCAGCGGGTAGGTCAGGAGACATCTTCCATGACATGTATGTCACCTCCCCAGTGGGCTGGGAATTGAACTCATGCTGCAGACACTGCAGATCGCCTCACAGTGCTGTGCTTTAAGCCATTGCGCCACTAGGGAGGGCCCTTAAAGGTCTTCTTAAAAACAGAAACACAGTGTTCTATCATACCTGAAAATGTAATAGTTTCATAATAATATCAGCTGTCCAACCAGTGTTCACATTTCTCCAGTTGTCTCATTTCCTTTTGTAGCATGAATATTGTAAAGTCATATTTTATGAGTTTCTTTTAACTTACCCAAGGATGCAGGGTTTGAGTAGAGCAAGACCAAGGTCAAAATTCAGTCTGGTATTGTTCCAGCAGTTCAAACAGCCATCTTCAGTATTAAGACAAACTAAAGTAAGCCTCACAGTGCTCTGGTTGAATTGGGATTTGGCAGCGGTGAGCTATTGCCACCCATCTACCCCCACCAAGGGCGCAAGCTCATCACTTAGTTTAATTAGCTCAACCAACCTAATCTCCAGACCCAGCTCTGCCACTTACTATGTGACCTTGGACAGATTATTTGCCTGATATGTGCCTCAGTTTCTTCTTTGGCCCAGTAAGGGTACAGTAGCACCTCGTCTCAAAGGTTTTGTGAACACTGAATGAGTGATACATACAAAAGAACTTAAAACAATGCCTAGGACATAGTAACTTTTCAATAGATGGTAGCTCTTAATCTTACTATTCTAACACCTCCCATATAACCTTCGGGCTGTGCTAAGCAACTTCATACATTAAGAATGTTGAAAGCAGTTGAGCACAGTTATTAATGAGGGTGTCTATGGGCTTTTAGTGTAGGTTTTTAGAGCTACAGGTACTGAATTACTGCACCATTTGTATGGAAGTATACTTGCTATATCTGATTCAGCAATGAAGACCACGCGGACCACACAGACCTACTGGGCTATCCAGCATGCAGTTTTCCTTCCCTTCTGGCCTGCTAGTGGTCAGTCGCGTATTGATTGCTCCATTACTCTAGACTCTCTCGTAAGCGTGAAGCCCCACTCTTGTAGGTGGCTCTCTATTTGTCTCCCTTAACGTTATGGGTGGTGTTGTGTAGCATATTGTACATTTTCACCTTCAGGGATTTAAGTGACTCAGGTACTTCCCAGACATTTTGCCATAAACCAAGACATCCCTGAATATTTTGCATCTTAAGAGAAATTTGCAAAGTAAACTGTCTAGATAGAGGGAAGAAACATGGTTTCCTCTGCAGCTTTACAGGCAACAGAAAGGTCCTAGTACACCTGCAGCCTCCTGTCATGAGGAGATGGACAGGCCCTTGCTGCTGGTCCATCTCTCCCCAGACTCTCCTGCTCTCTCCTGGTCTCCTTCATGATGGCTGTCAGTTTCCAACAGCTTCATTATTCATCTGAGTGCAGCTGGAAAGCCTGACCTGTAATTCGATAGACCGTGATACCCTGCCTTCTTCCCACTGAGTGTAATGCAACTCCCAGAGATGGTCTAGAAGGACAGGAACACTTCCTACCTTTGTCCTTTCTTCCTCAGCCCAAGCCAGTGACTCAGAAGCCTAATTGGACCCTCCCTGGTAGCGCAGGGGTTCAAGCGCAGCATTACGAAGCTATCTGCAGCCACTGCAGCACCAGTTGAGCATCCTGGCCTGGGAGCTGACCTACATGGCAGAGCAGACCTCTCCTGTCTCACCCCCTCAGCATGTATTTCAGTAGACCTGCCTGTTCTGCTCCCCCATTCTGTTTCTGGTGAATCTTCTCACCCCTGCCCCCACACTTCTGGGCCTGTACCCCAGTTTTAATATGCATAAATAAATACATATTGTTTTTTAAAATTCTCATTGGCTGGCAAGTGCTGGGTACTCTGGGTACTCTGCAAATATCTTCAGGGAGGTACTTTCCTTGTAACTCCCAGTTGCCTTAGGAGTATGATTTATTGGCTGTTGTAAGAGCTTTTTTCTTATTTGAAACAGCCCGGCAACTGATCTTAGTATTGTATTGGCAACATTTGTGCTACTTGAGTGATTCACTCACTACCTTTTGATAAATGTTAAGAACAATTTGAAATAGAAGCCAAAAGAATGAATACCCTGCACAATTCTTTTGTAGCTCTGCTCCACTGTAATTGGAAGCATTATTTTTAACATTCTAACTTGTACTAAGATTACTGTATCTTTGACAGATTTTAAACTTTTAATCTGTCTTAACTGCCATTTATCAAAGCATGGCTGTATAGCTTCAAATTTGTTACTTGACTCAGTTGAAAAAAATACAATAAAAATAGAATAAAAATTTATTTTAAAAAATTCTAGGAAGAAATCTTGATTAAAAGAGAAATGTTAACAGTTATAGTTGGAATGCTGTGATAGCTTGGTTAAAAGACAGGATTTGAAGTCAGATCAAGCTAGGATTGTATACTAGCTCTGTTCCTGAGTCAATTCTGGCTGCTACTACACTGGTATTTCCCAAACTCTACTGTACATTAGACTCACTGAAGGGGTTTAGTTACACTGGAGACAGGTCAATCAGAATAGGGTGAGAGCCAAGTGGCCATGTTATTCAAGACCCCCCTAGTGGGGCCACCCTGGTGGCCTAGGTGTTCTCAGCTCAATCACCGGGATGAACCACCATGATGACCTGAGTTCGATCCGCAGCCAGGAAGTTAAACCATATGGCGCAGCAGGCCTCTCCTGTCTGGCCCACTGCTCCCCTCAGCAGTGGATTTCAGCAGATCGACCTGTTCTGTTCCCTTCTCTTGTCTCGGTGAATCCTCTCACTCCCTGAACCTCTGGCTACACCCCAGCTCTTCTATGCAAAAATAAATAAAATCTGTAGGAAGAAAAGATCCTTAGGTGATTCCATGTGCATCAGAGTCGGGAGCCATCATGCCTTTTTGAGGGTCTTATTATTTGTAAATGGGTGTGATGTGAATACCTACCTTGTGGTTTTTATGTGGATGGAAATGGATTAGATGTACAAAATTTTTAATCCAGTTTTCTGACATATACTAAGTACTCAATAAATAGGAGCTAATTAGGACTGATGGTGTTTTGTTGTCAGTAGCTAGAATCTTAGAAACGCTTTGATGGTTATTTGCTACAATGCCACAGCCTGGCCTGCCCAAAGCCTCCCATTCCAAAGGTAGCTCCTTTATTATAAGAGGGTCAAAACTGTTGTGATTCTTTGACATTTCACTGTGTTTTTATTGAACAGCTTACATGGGTTCATTAACCTGTCATTTTTCCCATTTCTCAATAGGAAAATTTCTGGCAACGCCATGCTGCAGTTAGGCCCCTTCTTATACTGGACATTTCTGGCTGCATTTGAAGGGACAGTGTTCTTCTTTGGGACTTACTATCTCTTTCAGACTTCATCCCTAGAAGAAAATGCAAAGGTAAAAACATGATACAAGTCATTGCATATTTTTTATAAGTATGGCTTATCCATTTCCATAAGCACTGGATCTATTATATACATACTTGAGCCTTTTTGCAAGTCATTTTTGTTAAGGTACAGTATGTTCTCACAACTCCTTTAGAGCAATACAAGTGTTGAAGTAAGAACTCACTTCCTGTGTGTGTGAGTAACTAGAGAGCTTGTGTGCCAATCTTCTGGAAGCTTAACTCACATGTAATTTTTACCAGATGAAGAAGAGTTCTTGGGTCCTGACTTTGGACCCCTGCATGATGTGAGTGAGGCTTTTCCTGTTTTAAAGTGAAGTCTGGCTCCACTAGCTCTTATTCATAGTGCCCCTCATGCTTGGAGTTCAAGGGATAATTGTCACATTTCTGCAGTATTTGCCCAGTAGTTTCCTTTTCTTTATCCTTCTCTTCTGCATGAGAGCATAGTGTTTTCCAGAAAGACCACAACTGGTCCTGCCAGTGCCTTCCCAGCAAGTGACTACAATGGTCAGCACCTGTGTTGGGATGCATTTGCCTGGGCTGTGCTCCAGGTGGAAAATGCTGAGGGGGTGAGGCTTTCTCCCCTCAGCCACACCATGGGAGATGGAATCCGCCACCTTGCATGCTGCTTTCATGATAGTCTCCCTTGCTGTCCTGCACTTCCTCTTTTGTGTTCCTTTACTCTGTTGTTCATAATGTGCAGCAAAGCTAAGGTTCAAAAAGCAATTACTGAGTACAGTGATTGTTATCACAACCTAGAAAGCAACATGTTACAGAAGTGATAGGCTCAGTGAACTTAAATGATACTTTGAAACTGTTACTTGGCACTACAATAAATTGGTACTACAGTAAAAACCTCTTTTAATTTGGACTAACAGAAACCAGTTGTATGAATTCATTTAAATGGCTGGCCACCAATAAACTGTTGAGAAAATAGAAATTTAGTGCTTTACAGGAGGGCCCATGTAGCACTTGCCAAGGAGAATGCCTTGATAAATTACCTCTGCAGCCTCACACAAATCACCTCAGATTTTCCAAGTCTGCTTTGCCCATTAGTAAGAGGGGTCTCAATTTTGTTGTTTCTTGTTTTATGGTTCCTTCAGCTTTATGACTGATTCTGTGACTGTCACTTTTTATATTATTTTTATTGGACTCATAAATTGTTTAGAGCTGACTATTGCTTAAAATCAGCGTGTTCAAAGTAAGCAGATACACTTTTGCAATCCTGTAGACTTTGCTTAGCAAAATCTTCAGGCAGGGCATGGGAAGCCTCAGCCCTCCCTCTGTCCATTTTATCTCCCATTTTGAGTTCATAAAGTCCAAATTAATTAGATTTTACTGTGTGCATCACCATCCTTTCTAAGTGTTTACTAAAGCTGTAGGAACTGCTCTGAGCAGTTTAATATAAACACCTATGTGTGATTTGATCAGATTCCTTTTTTGCTTCTATTAACCTTAAGTTTTTGGTTTTATGTTTTTAAAAAACGTTTACATTTCATTTTCTGTTTTAATGTTATGCATTCAGATCTTGACAGCCGTTGGTAAGCATTTGTGCCACTCATGCCATTGTGTGGACTTAGACATGATACCCGCTTTTCTTTACTGTGCACATGCTGACAGCGCTGATATTTGTAGCCAGAATCTTAGACTGTATTTTTAAAGTGTGAGCCCATTTCTCTGAAAATTAGTATTTGGGAGTTTGGATTCTGTATTATAGGAAGAACCCTTATCAAACTCTTTAGTGACATGAATAATGAAGAACTTTACTGTTAGTGGACTATAGTTTTTCTCCCTGCCTTTTCACACCAATGTGTTCCGAGTTTGATGCTTCATGGAATAATGGAAGTAAGCCCTACCAACTGCAGGTGTAGCATTCCTGTCCAAGGAAATGTAGGGTCACAGTAAAATCCTCCATTTTGGCCTAATCTTTTGACCAGGTATTTCCCAACAATTCATTCAAAAATCTTTGGCAGTTACACAATAGGATTAAGCTTGTCATTTTATTTTTGTAAGCAGGCTTATACACGGCACATATAATTGTTGAATGTTTTTCAGGTCTATGGAAACTGGACTTTTGGAACCATTGTCTTTACAGTCTTAGTATTCACTGTAACTCTGAAGGTTAGACTTTTTATTTATTCAAATATATTTAACACCATGTTTTGTAATGCTTTATGGTCTTATGTCTTTTTGTCTTAGAATGTCATTGTAGTGGGTTATTATTCAAATATGAATGCTTACTAAAATGTGTATGATAATAGAAATTTGCGCATTTGAGTACTATTGTGTTCATTTTTTCCTGTATACCACACATCTTCGCTTTAAAAATTCATATGCCATACTTATGTTGAAAATCTGTTCCTTCTATCCTTTCCTGCCATTTGCTATTTTCAAGATGTTATACATGATAGATAAACAGACAGAGAGAAAGAGAAAGTTAGTTTTCATCTTGGATATTTTTAAACATACTTGTTTAAGAATGACAGGGCTTAAAAGAATTTGGGTACTTAAAACCAGCGCTGATATTTGTAGCCAGAATCTTAGACTGTATTTTTAAAGTGTGAGCCCATTTCTCATATGGAATGTGATATCTGATATCTGAGATATCTGAGGTATCTGAGGTAAGTGCTTGCTAGTGATGAAATTTTTTATGAGGTATTCATCATATGCTACCCACATTTGTGTTGAAATTCCTGAGACTAGATGACATGCAGTGCACAGGTAGGCTCATTTTGGCAAAATTTTTGACATTAACATGTAGCCATATAATAATGCTCTGATGCCTTACTGCATGTTCCCTTTGAGGCACATGTATTGGACTCACATTTGAAAGCATACCAGATTATTGTGGTCACTCCATTAGTAAACACGTACGTGGGATCCAAGAAGGAGAAGCCTTAGACTCTAGAGTTTCAGTATTGTGAGTGGTGAGAACTAGGATTCAGAAGTATAATTGACAGAGTTCCTCTAGTCCTTTCTCCTCCCTAAATTTTTACTTCTGGTTCATTCGTCATACCAAAAGGAACTAACATGTATTCGTATTAGAGACTTCATGTCTTTGTACCTCCATTTCCTTGTCTAATAAGATGAGATCAAAGTAACTGTCTGTCGGGTTTTCTGTGAGAAGTCAATGAGTGGATACACATAAGGCACTTAAAATGGTAGATGGCGTATAGAACGTGCTTAGTACACCGAATGTAGTTGTTATTTGTCATGTTTCACAGGCTCATAATTTGAATTGGAAACCTCCCCAGTTTCCCCAGAGCCCCCAGCCTCGCATACAGCCCCTGGTGCCCTTTCACATGTTGCCCCAAAGATAGCCACTCTCTCATCTTTGGACGAGTGTTACTATGTGTGACATTTTCTTTAGCATATGGTAGGGTAGGAATGCAAGACTGAGCTACATTAGCTGTGGTATCTGCTTCCCTGTTTATGAATGAGAAAATGTAACAGAGAGTTTAGGGCCCTGGTGTTACAGCAAATCACAAAACTGAGACACAGCCTCCTCTTTGAATATTTGTCTGTGTGGCTCAGAAATTTTAAGCAAGGAGAGGCAGGACATAATTGATATTTTTAGATTACATTAAAAAACCCCAGGTACCATAATCTGAACAATCAGTCCTGACAGAAACATTAAGGAATTAAAATCCAAGGCAACTGGGATTGTTGCTAATTTAATGGAACAGACACCGGTTTTGCATTTGAAAGGGACCTTACATACTTAGACCCACATTCCATATTCCAGGATGCCAGTTGCCTCTGTATTCAGTAACTCCCAGCTATTGTGTTTGAACTGTTAGGACTCTTTTGCGTAGTTTACCATTCTCCCTACCTCGTTCCCTCTTGTACTGCTTTCTGCTTTTCAGCATATCTTCCTCTGCCAGCTTGCCAGCTGTCCTTTGTCATTACCTCCTTTGTCACCACTACATGAGAACTTGAAGCTCCAGCTTCCAGGATATTACCTTTGCCTCATTCCTTGCCCTTCCTTCCGTAGTGAGGGATCTGCCACCTGGTACATTCTAGCTTTTTGCTTGACCACACTGTACATTTGTGCTCTGGAGAGAAGAGGCTCTAGGGCAGAGCACATTGCTTTTATAGTCAACTCTCTAAAAAGCCTGGATTCTGTTCTTATAATTCCGTACTTTAGGTGTGTGGCCCAGCTAGGTCCTCCCTCCCATAGGTAGCACTGTGCCCAAGTTACCAAACATCATAGTGTGTTGCCTGTTGCAATCCCCACCCATCATAAAATCTTCTGTGTTGTATCTTTTCAGCTCGCCTTGGATACTCGTTTCTGGACATGGATAAATCACTTTGTGATTTGGGGTTCTTTAGCCTTTTATGTATTTTTCTCATTCTTCTGGGGAGGAATTATATGGTAAGCAGATACACATGTGTGAGTAATGTGTAAACAGCAAAATACACACATATATTTACATTGTGCCTGCAAAGATAAATTATAATTTTAAACTGTTGATTATATAAGATGGCATCTTCAATATAATGGACTGGAACTTACTTGTAGCCAGTAACACGATTATCAGGTAAGATTTCAAATGCAAGTATATAGACAGCACAAGATACTGAAAGGACACTCCCTCCTCCCTCCCACTTTCTTGTGGTTCCTCTTCCAATCTTTCAACTTGAAAGTTTGTAAACATCTCTGTGACGTGCCACTGTAATTTCTAGCATGATGTGTGAAGCTTCTACACAAGTTAGTGGTCAGCGGCCACATTATTATCCATGCGAATCAGTATATAACTGATTCACATCACTACGATATACTCAGTATGTATCAGTAGAATATATACCACTTATTATCTAGAGGGTTATTATCTTGAAATCACCAACATTGTTTTTTTGGGGGGCAGGTAAAGACAGACTAATATTTTATGGTCTTAATACTCACTGTAATTCTGAAGGCTAGAATTTTATTTGTTCAAATATGTTTAACATCATTTTGGCCTTACAGGTCATTCACTTCCTATTGGTTCAGTAAATGTTTATTCAGAAGCCATTTTATGCTGTGGCATGACTAGACTGCACCCTGCTTCAAGGAGACTGGAGTGCGATAAGGGGACACACAGGCCATGCTTAGAGGAGTTTAAGGGAATGTAAATAAATTGGGTTTTTCTCCTTTCCATACTCACAGAGGACTGTATTTTGTGTTTAAATATCCTAATTGTTTTCACTAATGAGTGGCTTCCCCTGACAGGGATGCCAGCAACAAAGAACCTGAGTGTAATAAGCCTTGGGATGACATTCAGGAGTACATATTTTCACTGGTTTGAGTAACATAATACATTTCATCTTACCACAGAAATAGGAATACCATGTTTATGTCCCTTGTGACTTACCAGAGAAACTCACTGTTTTGAAAAGGTTTTTTTAATAGGAACGTTAGGAAATAAAAATATGAAAAACTTAGACATTTAAGGAAGTAGCAGTTCTTAAAAAATGTAATTACAGCATATATTTGACCCCTATATCAGCAGTTACTAAAGCACTGAGGCCGAAGGAAGTCTCTATTTTCTTTAATGACATACAAATGAATCCGTTGATTAACCAAGTATAATACACAATTGTAAGTCTGCCTAGAGTTCATGATTCTGTCTATAAATTGTGTAATCAGTACTGAACTAATTATGCAAAGTTTCCACAAGAATAAAATATTTCTACCAAACTGGTTTCTGTTTGAACAGACTATTTCGTAGTGATTAAAATAAATCCCTGAAATGATTAAGACATTGTCACACCTGTTTCTACTCATCAGAGATACTAAAAGTGAAACATTAATAAATCTGTATTGTTAGATAGTTTTGCCTGTGGAATTATCTGAGTGGAGCTACTCTCTGTGAATGTAAACTTTCTCTTACAGAGCATCCAACAAAATGTAGCTGGAAACATAGGAGCTGGATGCTCCCCACAGCTAACACCTCTGGATATGTTCCACCCTGTGGTATTACCCCCACCCCTCTTAAGGGTGGACAGTGACAGTGATGCTTTCTGAGCCCCACTCAATCCAGAAATATTCTCTTATTCTTTACTCTTCCCCTTCAAAGCTCCATAGATGCCATCAAGGTAAACAAAGAAACCTAGGGTTATTCATCAGTAAGGGTTAGGATACTGTGGGAAGGAATACCTGTGATTAGCTGTCACTTGTCTGCTGGGCCCTTACTATCGCTTACTTTACTGCCTGGAAAATTAGTGGTCTTCATAATCAAGAGTAAGGGTAGAGTACTACCAGAACAGTCTCTTCTATATGGTTAGAAGCCTAGAAAGCCTGGTTAGCCCTGATCTCCCAGATTTCTCTACCTCACTGTCTGCTCACTCAGAATCCATGTCTAGTTGTTAATTTTATCACGTTAGACAGTGTACAAATATAATTGTTTATATTCATTGCTGTTTAAGCAATATTTCTTTAAAACACAGTGTATGATCTGCAGAGCATTTCACCGCAGATCAATTTTGAAATAAGAAACTAGTTTTGTTTCAGTTAACACTATGCTCTGTCTAATCAGTGGGGCTGACCACCTGCCTACCTATGGACTTCTTATTCACGGACAATGTGATGTGCATCCCGGCCTTGCATGGATGCTTTGTTCTTTGTCCCCTTCAGCTTTCAACATTAAGTTAGCCTAGTGAGACTCTCTGTGGCTCAGACAGACAGGGGAAGGGAAACAGATAGTGCTTCACAGTCGCTGCAAAATAGTTCAGTTGTATGACTTGAATGAAATCCAACATCGTAATGAGGGGTCTTCCTGGATTTCTGAAGTCTATGGCATAATGTCCTACTATCTGATATCTGCTTGTAGATGGTAATGGTAGGTTCCTCCCAGTTGAGAGAGAGAAGCTCTACAGGCCTTTTTATATTTGCATAAAGGTTTGTTTGAGGGGGCTTATAAAAGTGTCTATTGAATTTCTGAATATAGAGCACAAATCCATTTTCATATTAATAAAGCAGCCTAGGAATAAAAGACTTGTTAGCATAAAAAATAATCATCATTTCTCCTGAATATCTTTGAAGCACCAGCATTTTCTAATGCAAATAAATATTCTCCAGTTGGCAGTTTTAAAGTTGATTGCTTGGTTGTTTTTCAAGTCAAATGCATTTTATTATCTTCCCCCCCCCCCTTTGATTATCATTCCTTTTCTCTCCAAACATTTGGTGAATGAAATCTGTTTGTTACTTTTGGGACATTCGAAAGAAAAACATTTTTATTAATGCATATAGCAAAGATTCCTTTTAAATAGAAAAGTTTCAATTACACTTCTGTTTCATGTGACGAGAACTGACTTGTTTTTTATTATGTTTTTTTTTTTTCCCCACTCTAGGCCTTTTCTTAAACAACAGAGAATGTATTTCGTATTTGCTCAGATGCTGTCTTCTGTATCAACATGGTTGGCAATAGTTCTTCTAATATTTATCAGCCTTTTCCCTGAGATTCTCCTGATTGTATTAAAGAATGTAAGAAGAAGAAGTGCCAGGGTAAGAACTAAGTTTATATTATAACCTGATTTTTGGAAGGGGCTTCAATATCTGCCATGAACCGAAAAACCTAAGAGAATTGCATTAGTTAAAGCATGTTAAACCCCTCCTTACAGGTTCATCACTTAATTTCCTCTTCTGCATAAAAAGTATAGTAAAAACTTCGTTACCCAGTGCAGGTGGTAAGTAGATTCCTTAATGGTGTTCTATGTGGCCTAGCAGTCCATATGGAGTATCTCATGTGCTCCATATGGAATTTTACAAGGAAAAAAAATGATTTTTTTTTTTATTTAGCTTAGAATTTTCACACCAGGATTTCCACACCAACATTCCAGCTTGAACCTTAGAAATTTCCCTGTGGGTTGTTCGCATATTTTTTTTTTCAGTTGATAATCCCAATTTGCCTTTTTAAAACCTTTCCCCTTTCTTTAATTATAGTGCTGCTTAATCTCTGTGTTGCTTCTAGCCCTGTCTGTCCAGCAGTATATTTGAACCAAAGAGAATTCCCTGGATGTGGTTTCTCCATCCATGCCTTCCTGAAACACACTTGTAAAAATTCAAGATTGGCTTATGAGTGTGTTTTTATTTTTGTTGCTTAAATTGTAAATTTCGTGTGGGAATAAAAAGTAATTACCCTCTGTCAGCCTAATCGCTTGGCCCTGCATAGTATGGTATCTTTTGAACATTGAATTGATGAAAGGGGTAGATTAGCCTGGAAAATTAAACTTCTGCCAAATTTTGACCAACAGGTTAATTAAATATGTCACATTCCTGCCAGTGCTAGCTCATTTTGCAAAACAAAGCCCTATTTCTAGCATATTGACACCAACTAGATTTTGCGACCTCTTCAAGGCCATATTTTCAAGAAATAATCTAAACCATATATATACATATATATGTACACACATATATGCATACACATGTGTGTGTTTGTGTATATATGTACATATCTGCCTGAACTTTTTGATCAAATGAGCCAACCAGGTTACCCACAAAACTGATTTGTCTGATTTTTGTCCTAATTTTTTTAATTGATAGACTCCAGTGGCTGGCATTATGCAGACCTAGGGATCAAAAATGATTGACTACAGTGGGAAAATCTTCAGTGATTAGATGTGTAAAAGAGGAATTTTTTGATGCAAACCAATATTATAAGCCCCAACGAAAAGCAACAGAACTGTCAGTCGCATAAACAACACGGACCCTGAGCATACAAAGTCAGTTAATGTGCAGTCTGGTGTTCACAGTGGCCCTTAACTCCCTGCTTCTGCATGCTGTCTGGGCTGCAACGGGACACAGTAACATCAGCCTGGCTAAGACTGCCTTAGTCTGGTCTTTAATCCTTCTGAGAGACCCCCCTTAATTCCCTCCAGCCTGGTGTATAGTCTTAAGATGGAAAGCAGCATTTATTTATCTGATTACACCTTACTGTCAATTAAACATGGGTAAAACAAATTGACATGACAAGTTCCGCCTAGATAGGGTTAAGTTGACAACTTGCATGAAGCCAAATATAAAATATGATAGTAAAAAATGTTCTGGTACCTCTTTGTAACAGAGAATTTGTCTCAAAAAGATCTCTAAAGTCCTCTTCCATTCTTTTTATTTGGGGTGCTCCTAAATGTTTTTCTTAATTGCAGTATGGAGCTAATGCTATATAATGACTAACCAAACTTCATGCCCTAAACAAAAGTCTCAGAAATCAAAACCTTCAGACATATCTTATTTTCTTTATAAACCATTAGACACAGGCTGGAGGTGATTTTTATGTAAATTAAGTGGACACTAAATGCTTCAAATGTATTATATGTTTTAATATACAAGTTAAATGGCCCTAAATGGAGGGATGCTACAGAGTGGTCACAGATAAAGACTCGGAGCATTTTCTCCATGCAAACAACAGATTCCAACTTCTGTTAAAAGCATGGAGTTCTGGGACTGCAGCCCTTTTTATTTAACAGCATAGAATGTTGCCAGGGGTTCAGCATGAAATCTGTTTACCATGGTGGTGGCCATGATGGCAGGAATTCTAGCATCTCTGCTCTAGCTTGGCATGCTGATGTTGCTAGTACAACCAGGAGAATTTCCATTATCGCCTTCATTCATTCAGTCACTCATTCATTTATTCCTATGTTCGTTCAACCAATAAGTATCTGTTGGGCCACCTACTGATGAACATCTCTCTTTACATCCAGTGTCTGAAAAGCTAAATGATTTTTCAGACTGTATGGGATTTTGAGAGTTGCAGAAGAGACAAAAGCATTGTGGGCACTCAGCAGTGCTGCCTACCTCCCCCTCCCCCACTGAAAGAAAATGCAAGAGCAAAGTAATACATACAGATGCATAAAGGCCAGCTGAAACAATGCAGCCACAGCCATTCTGACGAGTCACATCTGTTTAAGTCCTATTTGGCCATATCAAAGACGTAGAGGCCACTTCTAAGATAAGAGGAAGAGCATCTTAGTGGCCAGCAGCCTGACATCCTGGCTGACTTCCTACTTTATTCAGTATTCCTTGCTAAGGCATGAGCCTCGTTTTAAAAAGTGGCAAACATTCTTTTACACTGATTTTACCCCATACCTGATAGCTCCCTAGCATGGGGTACTGGGCAGCGTCATCACATAACACCAGAAGCTTGGTGAGGCAGGCTCCCTAGCATGGGGTACAGGGTGTTTCCTTGTCTAGAGGTAGATCGCCCTGACTTCAGCCAGTAAGCGTCTTGCATCCTTTGTACACACAGCCAGAAATGCCTATGGCAAGTAGCCTGCCAGTGTTGTCCTCATGTGGGTCTTGGCAGCTGTTTTGAGAAGGGAACTCAGCAGTGGGCAGTGAAAATGTCTCTCTGGCATTTGAGAAAGAAGCTAAGCCATTTACATTTCACAATTATAGAAGTTGCCTTCTGTTGAATTCTATTCAGTTCAGCACACATTGCCTGAGGAGCCGTTAGAAGTTAGCTACTGTACTAAGTGTTGGCAATTGAGGGATGAATCAGACATGGCCCCAGCTCAGAAGGCGCTCTCGCGCTTGTTCAGTTGTAAAGAGGGCTCATATGCAACACTTGTGTAAGCTGCCACAAAGCATAATAGCAGACTCAGGGGTATGACTTCTTTTGACGTAACTGAACTGCTTCAAGGTTAGAGTCAGTACCTTCCGAGCCCTCCTGTAAAAAGACTGGTTAGGCGACCCCCACCTCTCCTGACTTATGTTAGGATGTTAGCAATGTAAAGTATATAAAGGTTTCTTCTTTCTTCTTTCATATAATTCTAGGGAATAGGTAAGCCATGTTTTTTTCATCCATCTTTTGAGCAGTGAGGTTAATTTGAGTTAAATCCTATTGTCAAGGATCAAAGGACTGTTCTTTGGCTTAGGGTGATCAGGCTGCAGCATCACCAAGCTGCTGGTGGTATGTGATGCGGCTGCCCTGGTGCACTGCACAGTGCAGCAGCAACTCACCTCAGAGGAAATTACATGGTTAGGGATTTTGGTGTTCTGAAAGCTTATGTCCCCTGTAAGCACCTGAACCAAGTAGTAAATACCTCTTCCCGTTTTTCAATACAGGAATTTTCCATGTATCTTCATGTAAGCTTTCCCATTTAAATCACCACAATCAAAATGAAGGTTTGACTTTGCCTACTAGACTTGGGAACACAATAATGGGAGTTGAGCAGCAATATGGCCATGCCCTAGCATGGGATATCTGCACAGACAAGGCATTCCATTATGCAAGTAGCTCTTTCAGAGTAAAGACAGGAAAAGCAAAAATGTTGCCTGCCTGAGTAGTATTCTTAGCGAAAGCACTTGGAAAACTTTGCAGAATATAGTTTATCCTTACGATAGCAATAATGATGATGATGGTTACCATTGTGATTCTGACTGTCATATACAACTGTGGATTATAGTCTACAGAGAATATAGTCCTAGGAACTCGACCAGACAAAAAGAAGCTGGAACTCTTAATACCGTGGCTGTTGAGGTGGATGGACCTTTATGCATTGGCCCTTTGACATGCTGCTAGTTGAGCTGCTGTCAAAGCTCTCCAGATGACTGCAGAGGAATGCGGAAATGTGATTCTCTCCCATGCTTCTCACCTCCCCCCTCCAGTTGCTAACTGTATCAATTTTTGATTGCTTTAGCTACTTCCATACTGTCGATTGCCTCCCGTACTTTCATATTTCTGCCCCCCCCCTTTATAAAGTAACCTAATCTGATAACCCCTAAACTTTCTGTTTAGGAGTTAATAGAACTGTTTCATAGAAATACTTTTATCTCATGGTTTGAATACAAGTTTTTGAGCATACCAAAGAGTACTTAGAGTTACAGTAAGTAGATAGGTTTATACAATAACCACGGGGGTGGGGGATTTAGTATCATATTGACCTTGTCACAAGGTTTTTACCCACAAAATACGCAACAGCAATTTAAAGTTTTCTTCTTAGAAAATAAACATTTATTTCTCTAGCTTTATTGGTAATTTGCATGTTACCAACATATCACTTACTTTCTTCAGTTAAGGTAAAAAATGAATAGGAAAAATTGTTGTTATATCAAAGCATATATATATAAACCAAAGTATTTGCCTTTAAAAGTTAAGTTGTTTATTAGGCTCTGAGGGATACTTGTTTCTTTAGCTGGTTGCTTTTTTAAGCTTGTTTTCTCTCATTAGTCACTTAAGTACCTAACATGGGCAGTTTTTGATTAGCAGCTCCCTCGTGAGCCACTTGTAAGGTAGCTTGTAACTTTAGGCACAGAAGAAGGAAAAAATAACCTCTTACGGTTTTCTGGTTATACTTTGAGTTATCAATTTTTACCTTTTTTAGGTGTTTAAAAGGAAAAATTCGTAATTCTTTAACCTAACCTTTTAAAGAGGCTCTATAGGAAAAGGGAGGGGAACCAGTTAAATTATGTTAGAGTAAAGGAAGTTAAGCTTTGGTCCAGAGGTAAACAGTACAGGAGTATGTAAACAGGAAGGATGTTGCAGCATGTCAGTGTTAATTTCATTTGTAACCTACAGTTGCCTTTGGGCAGTTGCCACATGGGTGTCTGTGTGCTTGGATAGGGGAGAGGGAGATCGTTACTTTCAGATTCATTAGTGATGGACCCTGCATGAAGCTCTCTGACCAGAGCATTTTGAACAAATATTCTTTAATGAATTATTGATTCAAGATAAACCTTAGTTCAATGCAAAGTATATGTTTTAATCATTTTACTCAAAATAGTCAATTTTCCTACTCACAAATTGACTTACAGAGAAATAGTGGTAGTCTGCACATACAGCTATTCCTAACTAACTCTACTTTTACTTCAGAAAGTAACGACTTCAAAACTAACATGTTCATTTCGACTTCGAATTCTCAAGGTTTCTTTTTAAATGTCTTACATTTGAGAGAATATTTACTTTTTTTTTTTTTTTTTTTTGGTTTCTGCATTTCTCTTTTTCCTACTGCAATTTTCCACCTTTTGTGCAAATTGTGAACAAGGTAACGAAACGCCTCCCTTCCTCAGGAACATCTACTATCTTCATGCTTTCTCAAACTTCCAGCAATCACAGTTTCTCTTGGAGTGAATAAGGTGATTTCCTTTCTTAATGTAACAACTTGCTTGCATTCTCATTTGCTTGACACCATTTTCAGATTCTTTATGAAAATTATTTCTCATGACTCATTTTTATATCTTCTATTAATACTTAAAGAGTATTTTGTCATTTTCCTTTCATCATTTTCACCTTCTCAAATTGTCACCCTGGAGAGGAAGTGACGTTCAAAACTTGGACTGTAAGTCTCTGGCACGCAGCAGTAGCCGGGGCGTGTGACAGCTAGTTTGTTCACCAAGACAGGAATGTTTTGTACAATTTCTCTTTGTTCCATATGCTCACAGCATCGGCACAACTCTCAGAGGTGTTCACCAAAAGGATGGTAAGGTTTACTAATCAAACCATATCAGCTCATCTACCACATAACCTACCAATACCATTTCAAAAGCCCAGGTTTGCCACATACTACTAATGTCTGTGTATTTTTACCATGAAAACAATTCAAGTTGGAGACTTTCTTAGGTCTTAAAATGTATTCATTTAATGTTTTACAGTTACTATAGTATAATCATTTGTGCTTTGGGCCACAAGAGTAGTCTATAGGAAATGATATTTTTCTTCTACATTTTTATCACCAGGTAGGTTGACCAATATTCAAATGCTTTAAGTATTTTTACCTCACTATTACAGAGAAATCTGAGCTGTAAAAGGGCATCTGACTCATTATCCGCCAGACCTTCAGTCAGACCTCTTCTTTTACGAACATTCTCAGACGAATCTAATATATTGTAACAGGTACCTAGTGTTAAACAAGCGGGCTGGCTTTAAAGAAACAGATTAACAGCATTATAAAGAAAAAAGTGAAAATATCACTCTCTAAATTTTCTCTTCTGTTGGTGTGGTGAACTTTAAACTATTCTTTGCAAAAATATAAAGATGCATTACTTGGAATATGATTAAATCTATATTTAAATTTGCTAAGCCCACAAATAAAATTTTGGACATTTACCAGAACTGAAGAATAATACAATTTATTTAATTTCTAAAAACAGGTAGTCATGATGGCAGTACCATTATGTGAAAATATTTATTAATACTGATCAAGAATATTTAGATTTATGAAGCTCATTTGGAAAAATTGAAAATAAATATTCCAACATTGCATCTGTATAACATCAAGTCAGTTTAGCATTGCATGTTTTTTGGGGAATTATGTTAAAATAATTTCAATGTGTTTGTACCTCCATGTGCTGTGTCTGTGTGTTTGCAGGTATATACTTAATGTCTTTGTAAATGTCTGATCCCTAAATGTATATTAATGAACCAGTCTAATCTAATCACTTTAAAATGTCAAGTTTTATTCAAACTAAATGTTTTGAATTTCAGAGGTGAAATCTTTCCTAGCCATTCAGGGGGATATGAATGTAATTATAGAGAATGCTTCATAATTAACTTTTCCAAAAATAAGTAAATTCATTTTACAACATATTGTTTCACTGATCCCAAAATAATTGTTTAGGAGGAATTGACACTGCCTGGGAGGAATTCTTGGAAGTCAAAATGAACCCTTATGTGTATTCCGTGATCCTCACTACAGGGGCGTCTGTTCTCGCAGACCTGTCGTGGGCTTTTCTTCCTCCATGGGAATTTAGAGTAATGAATGACTGAGGTTTACAAGCTTGTCAATTCAGAAACCACTCTGCAAAGCTTAGGACAAGGCCATCTTTCATGCACATGTAAAAATTAATGATCATCGTGAATGATATTCCAGGTCAGTTCATGTTAAACCTAATGAGTCCACCTCATTGACCTGTTCATCAGTCGTCAGCTACCTCCCTCTGCAGACAATAACAATGAACTATGGGATCGAATCCATTCTTCTGTTTCCTATAGTTACCACTGTCTGCATCTGAGGTGTATTTTGGAAACCAACTCATTTAGCCTTAGTCAACATCTTCACACCCATTTGAAGCTACTCACCTGCTTATATTTGCCCTCGATAATGAATCTGCATCCTAGCAGCCTTCGAAGTCATTGGCCCTTTTGTCCCAGATAGCCTTGTCCTATGCTATGTGGTTTATGTTAAAATATACCGTTTCCAGTTAATTTTGTATCCCTCTGGATGGCTCTCTTTAGCTTGGTCTGTGGTTTGGGAGACTAGGCTGGGTAGCAGACACTGCTACTGCTTTTGGTCTCTCCAGGGCCAGAATTCCTAAAACCATTGACTAGGGTAGAGCTGAAGAGAGTTTCCATTTTAAACAGTTGTTTTATTTTTGATGTAGTTATGTCTTCTAGGAGCATATTCTCATGTGGCAACATTTCTCCTCTGAGTTTGCCCCTTGGTCAATAAAGGAACTGCCCAACTCCTTTCTGAGGTCTTGACATGAATGGCAGCCTTATTTTTATTGGACTTGCCATGATCCTGCAGAGTTGCCTAAAGAACAATTAAGAGAATGTGGAATCTAAAATGAAATGGAAGGAACTCTAGAGGACTTCTGGCAAGAAAAGTGCACTAAAATAGGAAGGCATAGCATACCCCTTAGGGCCTTAGGCCCTGATACCCAGGTTCAAAAAAGTTGGATTGTAGAGAAGGTCAGCTTCCTCCCCTTACCACAGAACTCCACTTCTCAGCTCACCTGATTCACGTGAACTCTGTTTATTATCATCAAGCCCCACCTCAGTCATGGCACTGACTAGTGTTTAGAGGACAGAGAATATTCTGAAGGTTTCTTCAGGAAATAGGTTTCCTTTTCTCAAAAGAAAAGGAAATGGCAGTTGACTCATAGATAGAGGACCTACAGAAAAGAAAATAAACTTCAATATCGTAAGGATGAAATGTGTTTCTTTTAGTAATGGAAAAATACTTTCACAACAGTCTTACAAAACTGATGTCTTTTCAGATTTTCCCTGTCAAAATTAATACCTCCAACAAATAAGTGACTGAATCGTTCCTTTAACATGACCTGAGCATCTGTCGTGTGCCCGACACTGTGCTAGGTGCTTGAGACTGAAAGATAAATACAGTGTCTCTGTTTTCAAGCAACAGCTAGCCAGGGGAAGGGACTGTAGTGAGATAAAATTCTACGCTGGTAGGTAATCATAGAGATAACATTTATTAGGAGAACCCTGGAGCAACCTAAAAGCAAAAAGCAAGTCTGAATCTAGTCAGCTGACAAGGAAGAAGGATTAAAAATTGGTTATTGTGTTACTCTTCTTTTCCTCCCTGCATGTGAATAAAACTTGGCACTTTGTTAAGACAGTTGCTTTACTCTCATAACAAAATTTACTACTTGATTTATTTTTGAAACTGCTAAACAGATGGTTTCACATTATTATCAAATAAACCTTTTAACTGTGTATATTTTAAATTTTTCAGAATCCGAATCTTGAACTGCCTATGTTATTGTCCTACAAGCATATTGACAGTGGTTACAGCTAAAACAGAAAGCATGAAGAAGCAACAAGAAGTTTTCATCTCAGGATTCTCGATATGCAACAAACTAAACCACTCTCTATATCTAGGATTCAGAATAAATGTCCATTAAAATACCAAATGACTCTCTTAAGCATTTACAGTTATTGTAAGTAGCCATTATGGCCAAAGCTCTAAATTATGAAATACATGAAAGTTTGAAAGCAAGAATATCTAGAATTTCTGACTTTAGATAGAATAGTAACTACCCAGTGGGTGCTCTTTTGACCCATGAACTCTGAGTGGATTTAAATACAATATAAAGTAGAAGTCATGCCATGGGAATGAATACATTTTGCTAATAGTACTTTTTTTGCCTGGCAGAAGAAATAGGCTGTTTGGATCACATTTCTTGTTCCTGCTGAGTGGTAAATTATTTTTATTTCCAAACATCTGAAAGAAATACTTGAAAATACAAGAAGACTAAATCATATCAATGCATCAGATAGGATAGTTAATCCTTTCTGTTCACCTACATGTTGTCTTGCTAAAATAATCTTGAACACTTAATGGGTATTTTTCTAAGAAACAAAAAATATATTCCTTTTACTTTGGTTCTCCTGAGTTAAACCTCACTTACTGGATGTATGGCTGCAAGATTTGAAAATAAAACATTTCTACTCACTTGATAGCCTGTCAGAATAATGTCACCGAATTGCCCAATGTAAGTTCTACTCTCATTTGAGATAGAAGGGGCAAAGCCATAGTGACACAAAAATAAAGGCCGTCCTAAACATCAGTCTTTTTTACCTGTTTGTGGGGAGGAAAGAAGAGTGGCTTATTTCCATCAGTTAGTGGCTTTTATTTGAAGCGGTTGCATTCCTGCACATACACAGCACCTTTTTTGTGATGGTGAAGGGGAGGGATCCATCACAGGACCATAGTAGGCCTACAGATCCATGACTCTGAACATGAATGTTGACTCACTCAGCAAACTCCGCTAGGGCCATGGTCTAAACTCAAGACCATGACAGTCACCTTTGAAAAGTCCTCAGCTTACCACACTTGCAGGAGCTTTTAACCTCCTAAGAAATTCACTTTAAAAAAATGTGAAATGTCTTTATTAAATGTTAAAATCAAATACTTTTTTGGATATAAGTGACTACATTTGACTATTAGATTGAAATGGTCTCTTAAAAAAGTGTTTTCATGTCAGTTTTTGTTTTTGACAGTCTTTCTGGCATGCCTATATTATTATTCGTGTTACTATTGTACCTTTATTTGGAAAAGTATTGATTCAGTCTATACCAATATATTTCATGTCCATCTGGCACATTTGATTTTTCCTTACCTTTTTTTGTGTTAATGTCTAGATGTGGCTTTTCTTGAATTCTAGAGAAGACCATTTCAGTTACTGGAAACCATTCCATCGTTACTGGTCCTTTTTTTATTATTTCATTTGTTGTCATCTATCAGTGTCGTTTTGAATATTTTGTTAGATGTCATCCACAGCTTACATAAGTGTGCTATGTTCTAGTAGCCTGTATTTGAGGTAGTCTGCTGAAATGTCTTTATATTCTTTGCCTATTCCAAAGAGCTAACAAATCAGACCCAGGAAAGCTTTTGATGTTTTGCTGTTCTTGTTCTTGTCTTTATAGTTGTTGCTGTATCGTTACTGTTTTATGTAAGAACTATAGGAACTGTGAACACAAACTGGATAGGCCTGTTTAATGCAGAACCACTGGAGATGGGACATAATCAGAGTACCCAGGAGTAGAAACATAATAACTGGTGGCAGATAAAATTCCTTATGGCTAGGAAGTAAGTAAAGGGGATTAGAGTCTTGTCTCAGCCCCACATTGAGCTGCAGCTCGATCTCCCAATGGAGATGATATGCAGTATCGTGGTCTAGATCCCTGAGAAAGATCCAACTTTTCTTTTCTGAAAAATATCTTCTTAATGAGCTAAACATTGCTAAGCATCGAGTTAGCAGATGGAATAACTTGAGGTAAGCTGTCCAGTAATCTGTCATTACAGTTTAACCACCTTATTTTGTCAAATGAAAAGGGGGAAAATGTAATAGTAGGATCATATACCCATCATTTAAATAATTTTGAACTACCAAAACGTCTTGACAATTTTCGTAACTGATGTCCATTGTTTGAGGATGTTGCCTACTAACCTGAAAACATAAATTCCTTCCCTACCACGTAGACACCAGCAACAGTATAATTGTAAGCCTAAATTTGCAAAGTTCATAATACTTTAGTGATGGAATTTTTTAATAACACGCAGTATATAATATGCAGATTTTATGCAAGTGTTGACAAAATCATTTTTCAGCTTGCAAAACAGGACTGCAATATTACATTTTTCACTTAAGCCATTTTTTACATCTATGTTGTTGCTTTCTATAATGAATGTGAATGCCATCTTTTATGAATGCAACTTGCCTTTTTCATTACAGAAATTTTTGTTTCATGTAATCAATAAACTTTGGTATGATAACGATTGCTATTTTAGCCTCCTTTTTTGGAAAAGCTCTCAGTTTGACATCATAATGCGAAAGCAGTTTGGTGGTGGGAAATGAATTTCCAATTTCCTCTTTCCCTGTACAACTCAGAAAAGACTGACCATTTCTACATGAATTCCACTGCCAATTTATGGAATTACCTAATTTGGGGAGGTCGTGATATGGATGGGAGTTTTGAATAAGACACCATCATGTATTGCATAGCGAGGAGTCCAGCCAAATCATCAAGTATGCACAGAACGTCTGGCCTTGCGCTGGCTGCTGCTCACATGTTGGAGGCCTCATCTCGAGTCACCACATCTGGTGGGAAGTAGCCAGAGGTGCAGGGAAACCTCACTGTAGCTGGAAACCTCTTCTCCCCTCCCCCTGCTTCCTCCCCACTCCTGCCTTCTCCCCACGCCCCCTCTTTGAGGTTTAGCTGCACCTAAGACCTTATGGAAGCCCTTTAAACCCTGCCCTCCTTGACCATGCTAAAGTTGTTCTGCCATAACTGGCTGCATTACATTTTTCACACTTTGGTCTCAAATTTTTGTAGCCTTTTAATCCTGTTAGTCTGACCTACATTTTATGTGTTTCCTCTTGTTAAGTGGGAAATGTACTATATTTGGAGGTGAGACCTGAAAACGTTTTGCCACTTAGAGCCATTTTCCTCTCAATCTTTTCTGTCAAATCACGTTGTGGGGGTGAGAGATGGTGAAACGAGGTAAAGGATCAAAATTCCTTTGTAAAATGCCATCTGCTATTCAGATAAAAATGTCTATTTCTGTCATAAGCTTTTTAATTGCTTTGAGCTTTTAATTATTTTATTCCTGTCACACCCCACTGTGACCTTTTTCATGAACAGTTGTCATTTACCAAATTTTGTCAGTGTGTCTTAGATTGCTTCTACTGTCTTGGAATTTGTTCAGCCTCCCCTTCCTTCCCCCATCCAGCCTTGTGAGGCCCGCTCTGCCTGACTGCTGAGTCTGCCCAGAACTGGCCAACGAGTAAGTATTGGGAGGGTCTGAGGGCTCTTGCCCCTCAACAAGAATCTTATGCAAAGGTTAAGGGGCTTGAGGTTATCAGTGTGGTTACTGTGACGGATAAAGTGCTGGATGCCTGCTAAGGAAATTGGAAGTTCTGAATTCTGGAAATAACAGGAAAGGGGGGTGGGTAATTATTTCATGATTTTTGAAATTAATTTGACCCACTTTTCCTGCTGCAGTGGATAGGCCCAGATCCTTGCATGTGGACTTAACTGTGCTGAAGAAGGGTCAGCGTGTGGAAGGAGCAGGTTACCACCTCGGGCGCCTTGATGCAAGTGTTGGGTGTGGGCCTCTAGCCCGCTGAAAGGCTGCACCTCTTAGTGGGTCAAAAATCCCTCTGGGAGCAGGTCTTTGGTCCTGGCTCTTTGGATAGAAAAGGGTGAGGATATTTGGAACTAAAATACCTGCTGCTGCTTTGGTCTCTTCTCATTGACAAGGTCACAGTCCCTGCTATTAAAGCCACCAAAAATGGCTACTTCTCACCGTACCTAACATCTGTACAGCACTTACAAGGTGCCAGGCACTAATTACTTTACCTACATTCACTCCTTTGACAACCCCAAAGATCCTACAAATAGGTACTCAAAAATCTCTATGTGGCGTATAAGGAAATGGAATCCCAGCCTTGGTCACAGTCTTACAGAGCCAGATTTGGAACTCAGGTATTCAGAATAGTCTGCACTTAACCAAGACACCATTTCTAGTATCCTACTGCTCCTGACCACACGAATGAAATTAATCATAACAAAATTAATGCAGATAGTAACATGAGAAATGCCAGACCCAATTTGAGGAATGTTCCATAAAATAGATTGCTTGTTATCTCCAAAATTTTCAAGATTATGAAAGACCAAGACTAAGGAACACCTAGATAAGGAGAACAAAGATACCAACTAAGTATAGCCTGTGAGCTTCAGTTGGATTCTGGGCCAGAAATCGAACTTCAGTGGAATGATTGATGAAGTTTGACTGTTATGGGGGTTTATACCATCATACAGATTATGTTAGTGTTAATGTCCTGATTTTTTAAATTGCTGTGATTATAAGTGATATATTTGGGGGAATCAATAAAGAGTATATGGAAATTATTCAAAAAATGAAAAAAGAAGGTATTAATGGGAGAAGTCATAAAATTGAGCTGACTCCAGGAGATTAAGGTAATTTATTAGCTAATTATCTGCATAGTACTTTACGCTTTTAGGTAACTCATTTCATCTCAACTGCCCCTATGTAAAAACCATTAAATTCCAGGTTCTTAACAGGTAAAGGAACTGAGTCCAAGGAATGTAATTAATTTTGCTCCAGGCCCCTCGGTATTAAACCCAGGTTTGAGCCACGTGGCCCTCTACCCCAGAGGATCACTTAGAATGAGAACACGGGGATATTGTCTGCATTGAAACGACCCCACCCCACTTCTATCAGAAATCTGGCTGAGCCCATTGCTATTGAGCACTTCCCAAAGTGGATCCTATGGAACATACATGGGGCGTGTTACTAGGTACTCCTTAAAAGGGCAGGGTTCCTGAACCAGTAGCTGTGGGAAATGCTGTTTGAATGCCAGCTGTCGACAAGTTACAGTGCATACCAGACATTGCAAGTATGAGATTAATATTAAACCCATTTAACTTTGAATGTTCCAAACCACGGGCCAAGGAGCCCTTTGGCAGAGATCACATAGGAAACCAGTGGACATCACCTCACCATGGAACATGACTGGAGAAGTAAAGCAATAGCCGGGTTCTCTAAACAATTTTCTGAGCCCTACTCTCTGCTCCCCATTCTCACTTGAGCTCATTTTCATGAGCTGACAAAGCTGTAAATGGAGCTAATTACTTGAATCAAAAGCAGCAGTCAAGGTCCAAGCTGGAAAAGAGATTATTCGGTGTCTTAAAAATGGAAGAAACAACTCTGAACTGATTGATTACACATGTGATGGCAGAGCTGGAACGCCAGCTGGGGTCTCTGCAAGGTGCCCCAGAGATGAGAGGAGGAGGCCGGATCCTCTCGGGCTGGGGGACAAAGGACTTGCCCTCCTGGGGCCTACAGCTTGGTCACGGTAGAAGCTGGAGTCACGGGCCTACCCGGGGCAGCTGAGCCACCGCAGTGGCTTGGAGTCAGAGCCCCCTCCTGCCGGGCTTCCAGCCCATGCACTCCATTGGCTGAATCCAGCTGGAGACCAGCTACACCAGAGCCTGGAAAACAAGTTTGCAGTGGTCAAATCCCCACCCCTGCAGTAGGAGCCCAGCAAGGTAGGGTGACAATCTGGTAGAAGTTGCCCAGAGCTGGCACGACAAGGAGCAAGGTTCAAGTTGGATCTTGTAACTGAAGACGTATAAACATGAAGAGTTGGAAAATCAGCTTACCTGAACTCACTCGTTTATTTGGTGTGCTACAGGTGATAAATGTTTATGGATGAAAAGATTAATGGAAGTAGAAGCTACTTGTATAACACAAGCTTCCCGGTAATGATAGACACTCGCATTTTAAACAATACAGCTAAATGTAGAGACTCGTTAAAAATCAAGAACATTTCATGAGATATAAAGCTACAATATTAATTGCAACGGGAATCATTTTTGTCTGCTCCTGTTTCTGCCTCCACCCATAAAATAGTCACTTCCCCCTGCAAGGCAGAGAACAGGGTTTCTGGCCCTCTCTGCCCCCACTCAAGTAGCCAAAAGGTGATCCAGCACAAGCGGTTCTTCCACCGAGGTCAGCTCCCCAGCTTGTAGGTGACTCGTGCTCCTCCCTGTTCTCAGGTCCGGTGCACCGAACTCGCGGGAGACAGGGAATGAGGCCCGCCGGGCTCAGGAGGCAGCTTGGTTTGCCCCGCCCCACCCACCCACTCTAGGCCTCAGACAAGCGCCCCCGTTCAACGCTGGGGAAGGTGACTTCGGCCTCATGCCATCCAGGCCAAGTTTAAAAATCAGCTTTGCAGAGGCAGATAGGGCCTGCTTTTGTGCCGTTTGAGTGACGCCATGTCACTTTATGGAGCCCCACACCTGCGCGGAGAGGACTCCACTTTAACAACAAAGGCGAGAGGCGGAAACGGCGAGAGGCAGTGTGGGCTGTGCAGCGAGCAGCGGACAGCGAGAGGCCCCGCCAGGCCGGGTCCCTCGTCCTTCCCACAGGCCCGTGAGTCCCCGCACCCCAGCTGTGGGGTCGGTGCTGGCTGTGGTTTTGGGGCTTGGGTGTGCCTCGGAGCTGGCTCTGCGCCCACTGTTTTCCTCTTGTGTCTGGCAGTGGCTTCTTCCCTTTACACCATTTCAGCCAGGAAGGAACCGTCTATGTGCTGTATTCCTAGTGCCATGAACAATGCTTGGACCATAGATTGTATTTAACAAACGTGTTAAGTGAATGAATACACTTTGTCTCTGTCTGGTTGATGGCGATTTCTCAACTGGGTTTGAACTCAGAGGGGACAGAAATAGGTTATCTGGGGTGTGGGGGGGGTCCTCCTTTTCCCCTTTACCACCTCCATATTCAAATGCTTACATACAGTTGCCTCCACAGTCCTTTGGCTTTTGTGTTCCAAGGGTGGATCATTGAGAAAAATGTAGAAGTGTTGGGCAGAAGAGGAAAACAGGGCTCATAGAGACAAAGTGTCTTGGATTTGCCTCCAGAAGCCTTAACCCGGCGGAAGAGAGGATTGTCCCCAGCCATGGGGAGGAGACCTGCAGAGGGGGTCTGAGTGCAGGACCTCTGTTCCACAGCTGAATAGAATCTTGTAGGGAGCCAGCAGGAAGAGGGGCTTGTGGGCAGACAGCGTCCTAGCCAGTCTCGCCAGAGGGCTGCTGGCCCTGAAAGGCACCCTGTAGACCAGGACAGTGGCTGCTCAGGAGGCAACGCATGTACATGTGACTGAGAAACAGACAGACACCCTACAGGAGCAGACAACTTGACCTTTCATTAGGTCCAAGAGACACAGAA